GTTATTAATAAAATTTATTATATGCTCGACTCAGATGGTACATAATGTAACAGGTAATCGATACATTAACATTAACCTTTGCAGCCTTCTGTAGAGGCGATGGATTTCCAAAATTTGCACTATAATGCAATAATGGTTCACTGACAAAAACCGAAATGGTTTGAACATTATGACCGTTTACGCGGGCCAAATAATGGGCCCAAAAATCAGTTATTTGAACCGGTTTCTCGTCGATTTCTAGCCCGCTAAGGGCACTCCTTTCATTCCCCATTAATTTATTACAGAATTGAGCCACATGTATCACACAACGGTCGAAAGTAACAATCGTTTAACAAACATTTCTCGATCAATTGTTAAACAAAAAGAATCATTCGAAAGAATGCCTTGCAACAGTTGCAATTGTTTATTCCAGATTATAATGTTGCTTTGATTTTAGAACACATCACTAAACTCGATGTAGATCCTTCAAGTGTGACAGACGATAAAAAAATTGATATCAACTGTTTCATTTATCGCTGATAGCTATTTCTCAGACAGATACGCGATTTTAGCGCCATTATTCTAACAACGAATCCTCTTCATTTCATTTCACATATCTATTTTCGTTGCATAAATCAGTCTACAGTCGTATTTATCGAATACGGTAAGGATATATTGTGAGTTTGAGTTTTCATTTATAGATTAGAGTAATAAATTCCATCGTTGGAGTTTTATATCTTTTATGAACGTAAATGTAGGAATCGATTCACGCGGAAACATGTGCGGGAAATAAGTACACGCATGTATGTATGTATGTACTTCATTTGCATTCCAGAATCTAAACTAATTTAATTTGAAGTTTAGGGAAAAACTATTATATTTTTATTATTTCCGTGCAGTAATCATTGTATTATTTGCGGCGACGGCGAGATCGATGACGACAGCCATGATGTCATTCTAATAATAATCACGTTACCGATTCAGTTTTGAAAATTATAACACTAAGTTTTTAGCAATTTTACGCATGATATTTCAATGATGGTTGTGGTACTAATTAATAACAATAGCAGCGGCAGTAGTAACAACGGCGGCGATGAAGATGATCGTATATTGTATATATGTAGCATTGTAATACAATAGAAAGAACGATGATGATAATGATGACGAAAGTTACTACAAATAAAATAAAATTAAAATAAAATAATGTTTGTAATAATATTAATATTAATAATATAATAATAATGATGTTTGAATCGTAACGAAAGAAGAGAATATACATTTCTTTTTTGTACGACGTGTACGTTGCGACAAACAGTGTTGTGAGATATTACTAGCGAAATATTACTACACGCGAAGAAATCGAGCGCATTTCGTATTTCTGCAAGCAAAACACTCCTCGTTATCATTACATTTTTTTCCCCTAATCATTGATACTCTTTCCGAGAGTGGCTAGGTCATGATAATACATTCAGTACTATAAACAATTGTTGCACTATTTATTTTTTTCACAAGCTTTCTCATGACCTCACAGTATATTAATAAACGAATAATGTACATGAACTCTTTTTTACTTGCCATATCGTATTTAGAGGGACAACATCATGCAGATCTATACGACGATGAATCGCCGCACGGATATAATTCTTAATGTATTTTTTCGTTCCTTTTCCTTTTTTCCATTTTTTTGTTGGAATTTCGATATACGCAACAGTCTTCTTTGTCGTTTTGTTTCCGTTTTCCTTATTTTCTTTTAAAGTGATGCTCTGCGAATAATTGCAACGATCGTGCAATACTTTTCTCGAGGCAAGTCTCACGAGAAATCTGGCTTTATCGTATACCACAGACCGTCGTCGTGTTCACATACAGAAACATAAGTCTTGTGCACATTCATTAATCTTCATAGTAGTTGATAAACGCAGTTAATCGGTTAGGATGATCGATCGATATCGATTAGAGTTATATACGTTGTGCGCGTCAGTCTAGTCCTTTTAACTTCCTTCTCTCTTCATCAACTGAATATGTTGTTGGTATCCCCGTCGTTGAGGAAATCAATGATTGCTTTCTTCTTTTTTCTCTTTTTTGGATCAATCAGTCTCGTGGAAATCGATTGAGTTCCATCTTCTTGCCAAGCAGCATTTTATCCTACACATGCTCGGGCATTCTTGCACCCCTTTCACGATTTTCAAACGAAGGTGAAACGTTCGACAAAAGCAATCTCATTGTTCGAAATTTATGAAAAGATAACACGTGTTTCTATAATTGTTAATTCGGAGAAGCATCGGTATGTATGTAACAAATGTCACCTATAATTATTCCTTCGTTTCGATACACGTCACGATCAAATTATTAATCAAAACGAAACGTGGTCGATGCAATCGAAGTTACGAATTTCAAGCTCGCAAGCTGCTTTAAATTGACAGTAATACATAATACCAATCTCGAGCTACCATTCGCTCCACATGTACGATAAGTTCATGATCATTATCATTTACCTTCCGATCAACGTCGTACCATTATATATGCATATATATATGTATATGTATATATATATATATGTATATATATGTGTGTATGTGTGATCGTTAATTATATATATATATATTTTGTTTCAAATGGTGGACTGAATGTTCTTTTTTCACAATTCACTCGTTTTGTTGATTCACTTCTTCCTTATTGTCATTGTCTTGCGAGTTTACACTCGGTTTGGCGCCTCCTTGTTGTGCACCGGAGCTACCGTCGTTGATTTTATCATTGTGTGAATCCGTTTTTTCGTTCGCGTCCATTTTGACGTTTCCTGAAAACGAAGAACAAAACAAACATAGGAACGGTTCTCGTGCGACTGGAATTCTTAACTTTTTGACCATTTTTTTCCTCAATGATTGTTCGTATCAATACGACGTGACAAGCGCGAACCTTGAGTAGAGTAATATTGTTGTTGCATCTTCATGTTTCGTTGTTGTTGCTGTTGCTGCTGCTGCTGATGCAGATTCGGTCTGTGACGGTTGATTTGAGTTTGTTGTTGCTGTTGCTGGGAGGGCATGCAGTTAGGTTGCTGCTGTTGGGTGGGATTGTTCGGATTCGGGCCGGGCGTGAACGGAACGACCGGTCGTTGAATCGGTGGCGGGTATCTTTGTTGAGACGGTTGGATTCCACCGCGCGGTGGCATGCCCATGCCGCGTATATTTTGTTGCAATACCTGTAGAGACATTTCATACAACTTAAGTGTCTTAGTCTTAGCAGTTTGGGTGAGCATTAATGGAATTCGCGAAATTTGTGAACCAGGTTGATGCTATTTACCAGAGCTGATTGACTAACGCCTTGATATTGCTGATATTTGTGATGCTGCGTCGGACTTGGTTGCGACTGTTGAGAAGACGATTGTTGTTTGCAGCTTCTAGACTTGGGAGATGGAATTTGAGGCGCTGGAAAATTATTCATTATGTTACTATACAATTTCAGTGTTCAATCTAACATATAACGAAAGAAGTGAAATTACTAGAGCTAAAGACTGATGCTAGAACGTCTTGCTGGTTTCCCGATGGACTCTTCAATTGTCTGGGTTGCTCTTGTGGTTGATGTTTGCTGAGAAAATTAGGCCCCGTATTTCCCGGTCCAGGAAGTCCTCCGGTCGGATTGCGAAATTGCTGAGCGGCCGCGGCCGCTGCGATCTGTAGACCTGAGCTAGACAAGAAGCCGGAGCTGAAGTTTTGGAGTCCGACAGGTGTGGCACTACCAGTTGCCAAGCTCTGACTGTGCTGACCGAATCCTTGGAGTCCGTAATGAGTTCCGGTCTGTTGCGTAGCGCCTCCAGGTTGATAAAAACCTGTTTGAGACCCGGGAAACACGTCTAAAATGAAAACGTAACGATAGTGATTCGTCCTGAAGAATTATTACAGCAAATAATAATAATAAATTGCTCACCAGCTGAAGTCGCGCTATAATAGCTATTAGCCGACGCTTGTACATTCGGGCCAGGTCTCTGCACCAATTGGGAATTGCCCATGTAACTGCCACTCACGCCGAGTACTTGATTCGGATCATATGGTATGTACGTTAACTAAAAAGAAAACGAAAAAAGAACATCACCCGAAGAATTCTATAAACAGCTTCACGTGTGAGAAAATAGACGATAATATTAACTACGAGTCACAGTAATTAAGACTTACTGGGTTTGGTTGGGGAGCAGACGGTGCTTGAAAATGCGGAGCTTTGGTTCCGATAGCGCCGATAGGTTGAGATGATGGTTTCACGCTGGCTGACATCAAAGAGTTCGAAGAGGAACTAATCAGAACCGTGTTGGGATTGTTGCTCAACTGCTGATTCTGGCCAAAGGGCGGGGCGGCGGCTGCGGTCTGTAAAAACGTAACTTTCTTGTATTTCAAGTGTGCATTCGACTTGCAGCTGGATTAGAATTTGAATTATGTTACATTGTATATAGTAGTAATTAAAACGGTGACCACTTACGATTCGATATTGCGAGAGATTGCTTTGATACATGTCCGGCGTAGGCGCGTTAGGCGCGTGCGGTGGAGGAGGCGGAGGTTGTTGCAGGTAGACGTTTTGCTGACTGAACGAATTCTGGAGAGACGGCGCATACGGCGGATATTGCGTGAAAGCCGATCGACTTTGATCCAGCTGAAATGCTCCGTATAAACCTCCCGCCTGGGCTGGTAGTTGACCAGAACCAGTGTTGAATAATACAGCTGGTGGAGACGGTATGGCAGACATACTGCCGTACTGCGCAGCTTGAGAGCCGGGATACTGAGGGAATTCCTGGAAGAACGAACAAGAACAAATATAAATAAGAGAATAAATGAATAAGCGTGACACCAAGATTGAATAATTAATTAATGAATAATCACCTGATAATTGATATGAGAGGGTTGTCCAGTGGAGTTAAAGGGTGGTGGACTTAACGGTCCTTGCAGGCTAACAGGAGGATGTCCGATAGGACTCTGACCTGCCCCGATGGGACTCGGTCCAGGGACGGTCGAGCCAGATTGGCCACTACTGCTTCCCGAAGATTGTTGCTGCGGCTTCACCTGCGGGGGAACCAGCTGCGCATCAGGCAAAGAGTCAGCATCTTCCCACAGGGGACATGGTGTTTCATTATTTTTTTAGTTTTTTTTTTCTATTTACATCACTATCAACTGTCGACATCAATAACTCTAATCGATGCCGACCAAAAAGCGCGAATGTTTTTTTTTTTGAGAGGGTGGGGGGAGACAACGTATTCTCTTCTTTTTTTAAATCTTCCTTCTGAACTCTGGTGAAAATAGTTAGGTTCATTGCTAACAGTGTAATGCTTAATAATTAAGTAAACAAAATCGATTAACGGAGACTCTTGTTAGGAAAATGGCTGTAATAACGTAAATGATCATGATGTAAGAGCAGTGAATGACAAAAGCAACGTGGTAATGAAAAATTTGCGAAAGAAAAAAATTGGAAAATGACAATGACGATGTGCAATTAATTTGCGAAACGACGAATGCTTATACTTAGGCAAGTTTTACAAAAAAAAAACAAAAGACTTCGAAACAAAATCGGAGAGATGCACGTTAGCCACTTACCTTTCTGATTTTCACCATGGTAACTATCTTTCTTTTTTTGCTTTAAAAGGATTTTCGAATACGGACGGGAAACGTTAAAAATCAGAAGGAAACGACGGAATGAACAAACTGGAAGAAATGCGTTCTCACTCGAGTCTATGCTGAGTATCGAATCAATTTCTAGTGATGTAATAGTTTCTATATACATGCATGATAACATGATATAATGTTCGCGAAATGATTTCTCACCTTGCACACGTTCGTAGAAGTAGTTATTTCGTTTTTCATGTTAGTTTGATTGTACTGTTGATGGGGGCTGTAACTGTCATCAACATCAGTACTTTCGAACGGTTGAGGGAAAGTGTTCGCGCTAGTGACGACATTGCCATCTTCGTGCTCGACTACGGTTGGCATGGGAGGCGCATTCTCCCATACTTTCTTTACCGAGGCGATTTTCAGATTGAGCTCCGCTGCAGAAGGAGAAATAGTGTTCTGCCCAGTAGCTATATGCATCGACCGAGTCATTCCTAGGCTTTTGTTTTTGTCCTCAGTCAGCTGCGACAGATCGGAATCAAACGTGAAGTCTAATTTCATATCGGCGTTGTCCTCGTTCTTGTTGAACGACAGCGGCATTTGAATCGGCTCCTGGCTTTTATCTTTTATTAGATCGTTCGGTTTGTTCGAAAACGCTACAGGCAGACTTTGTTGCTGCTGCTGTTGCTGCATAGCAGCGGCATTATTATCTTCCTCTAAATCCGCGCGTTTCTCGACGCGTTGTTGTTGAGTCTTGATATGATTAGAGAATTTATTCTTCACTGCCAAATCAGAGGGCCCAGCCTTGGTAGTTTTCGAGTAATTTGTATTCTCGAAGATCAATGTTTGCACCGGAGGCGAAGAGACGTCAGAGACCGAAGTTTTCTCTATCAGTTGATCTTTCAGACTCTTACCAGCGTTCTTTTCACCGTTCGGAGAGTTTCGCTGGCTGCTACTGCCAGAATTGGTTTGATCGTTAACCTCGTGATTATGAACGTGACTATGATCGTTCTGCGTCGACAGACCAGCTATTAATTGGATATCGGTAGGAACAGTCGACGGTGAATTCGATCGTAATTGACTCGTGAACGGTTTGTCCCAAGCGTTGACGGAAGGTGGTGGAGCGGGACCGCTCGATGAGTCCTTTGCGTAGCTATTCGATGAACTGTTCATCTTATTTGAATCGTTTTGTTCTGACACGCACATTTGCTGCTGCTGTTGTTGTTGTTGCTGTTTCGCTAAGCGTTGCTTTTGGAATCTGGGTGCGAGCTTCTGACTTCTCGAAGTCCTACTGTCGTATTGTTTCTGCATGTTCGAAGGTTGTGGAATGGTTTGTCCAAGCAACGGCGGTATATTCTGGATCTGTTGCTGCAAAGTAGTAGACTGTTGTGAACCACCGTTTGTTTTCGATTTCGAATGATCGCGTTCTCTGTCCTTGTCCTTTTCACGTTTCACGGATTTCGTTTCCTCTTTTTGGCCGTGTCTCGAATCCTTTACATTCTTCTTCGAGCGCACTTCTTGGAAACCATCGGAGTCAACCTTATCTTCAACGACGTTCGGCCCATCCTCCGTGCAATTGCTCGCTTCTATTTCGCAGTCGATGGCTGCCTTCTTTTCCTTTCCCTGGACTTTCTTGTTAATGTCATTAAGAGTTTGATTAACTAAATTCGGATCGCTCAACTTCAATTCATCCACACGATTAACTGTACTATCCTTTACGGTCGATTTGCTCAGACTCGTTGAATTATTGCCAGAAGTTTGATTTCTCGACCTCCCGTTCTGCACTTGAGCAGTCTGCATTAATGGCGGAATGCTGCTCGAATGATTCTTTTGATTAACAAAACCTGAACTTTGTAAATTCCGTTTCTCAGCGCCGGGGGCTCGAGAGGTTGTACTGGAAGACTTTACGTTCTTTTCACGTTGATCGCGGTTATTGCCTGTCTGTTCGTTTCTACGCGAGTGCACGTTCGAAGCCACGGCGTTCGGACCACTGCCTGTGTTGGAACGTGTAGAAAACTGTTTGTTGCGACTGATGCGCGTCTCTTTGTGTTCCTCCACGTGACCCTCGCTTTTCTCGGACACGGTTTCCCAATCCTCATTTCCCACATCCGAGGAGGCTTGCTTCGATACGTTGCTACTGCTGCCGCGATAACGCAACTCGCGATTGTCTCTGCCCTATAATCAATACAAATAAATGTTATATAGAAATAACTGTCCACCAAATGTTTCATATAAATGAACCGGAAGTGAAGAATATAAATTTCTATGGATGCTTACCCTTCTACTTCCACTACGAGTTCGTTTGGAGCGTGATTCCTCTTTTCTTGAAGTCTGCACCTTTTGAGAAGAAGTAGCGCTACTCGCATGATTTGCATCCTGCTTGTTGCAAGACTGTTGCGCCTGTTGGGATTGTTGGTTCGGAGATTTGGCACGTTTTCCTGTTATACCAGCAGTAAGCGCTTGTTGTTTAGCGATGATTTTATCATCGGTTGATTCGATTTGCGACGGTAGTAAAACGTTTGACTCTTTCTCCGGAGTAGGCGTCGGAGGGTTCTGTCGTGTAGAACTTTGTTTTTCATCAATACTGCGTTCTGAGGAGAATGGACTTTTACTGGACGGTGGTCCATATCCCTCCATGCGGCTACCTGTGGTAGCTGTGCTTCGAATTCGAAAACTGCTACCTCGACCACGGCGCGACGGTTCTCCCGATGGAGCGAAGCCTTCGCGGCCCAATTTGCTATCGTAAGTTCGCTTGTCGCTGCGTTGCGACTGAGAATGATCGGAGCGTTTATCGTCACGAGAAGACACGGCTGCTTCCCGATTCCGTTCTTCTTTCTCCGCTTTCTGACCGGGCTTCGGCGATCTGGCCGATTTCTTTTCTTCCTTACCAGATTCAGTAGAACCGGATACTTCATCGGCACTATTTTCTGAATCGGTGTGCGCGTACGAACCACTTCTAGCGGACGCTGGTCTAGCAGAGGTTCTAGGCCCGTTTCGTCGTCCTCTTGATTCGGGACCTCGCCAGCCTCTATACACACTGTACGTACTTCCGCCCCATTGACGCCCACCTCGAGGCTCGCGTACCCTCGAGTTCGAGCTGCCGCTGCTAGTTCTGTTCCGTATATTTTTCTCTCGTTTATCATCACTCAACTGTTCTCCCGCAGTCGCATCCTCGCTCAGCGTTTCCTCTCTTTTGTCAAGACTTAATTTATCGAAACTTTGTTTCAAGTCTTCTGAATCCTTTTCGCCCTTGGCAGGTTCCAAAGCTTTCTCCTCTTCCTTTTCAAACGTCGGCGAAACGGCATCCGCCCATGCTTTTGGAGAATTATCGCCCCTCTCGATTGCCCGTGTACTGTCGCTAACGCGATCGACTTTTCTATTCCAAACGTCCGCTTCCTTCTTTGCCTCCGAGGTAGCCTCCTTCGCCTGATCCTTCTTTTCTTGATCGGAACTTGCCCGTTTCAATTGGGTCAAGTTGCGCTTTTCACTTTTCAACTCGTCGGCCTCGATTCTCTCCTTGGTTACAGGACCCATAGGTTGTCGCCTATCTCTCTCTCGTTCACGAATCTCCTCGTGATACGTATCGCGTTTGCTTTCCTCGTAATCGGTGACCTCGTTCACCCAGGAACTGCAATCCCGCAATTTGTGTGAATCGTCGTCGCGCAAAGATGTCTTCGATTCCCGCGAGGCACGACTGTCGCGAGAATCCGGTCTCTGCGGACGCTCGCCGCGTTCCATACGTTCCTCCCTCTGTGCATCGCGACGGTTATCGATCATTCTGTCTTGCATGATACGTTCTTCACGCCACTCACTGCTCTCAGATCTTTCTCTTTGATCGCGGTCCCGATCTCGTTCGCGATCACGATCCCGGTCGCGATCCCGTTCACGATCACGTTCGCGATCACGGTCACGGTCGCGGTCGCGATCGCGCTCACGGTCACGCTCACGATCGCGTTCACGATCACGGTCACGATCGCGGTCACGGTCGCGTTCACGCTCACGATCGCGCTCCCGGTTGCGCTCGTCAAACGTGTCCTGTTAAAAAATAAAAATGTGCAGTGAAAGTTAATTAAGGACTGTTGTGACAGGAAAGCGGTTAAGAATTTATGTACCTTCAAATAATTATCATAGTCCTTTTTGTCTTTGTTATCTCTTTCTCGAGTTTCTCTCGAGTCTCTCGTGTCCCTGTTGGTACGATTATCACGGATATCCCGAGTATCTCTGATATCTCTCGATTCCACGCCATCCTTCGAGTCTCGATCTTTGTTATCGTCGAAGTATCGTTCACGTTCCCAAGAATCACGGGAATGTCTATCATCGTATTCGTGATCTCGGCAGTTGCGATTGTACTCGTCGTAGTAACCGGCCGACTTGCGTGTCTCGTATGATCGGTGCGAGGAATGACGGTATCGATCGTCCCGAAGTAAGCTACCGCGGTAATCTCGAGACGGAGGTCGCTCATCATCCATCGAAGTAGAAATGTCTGAATCGGTTCTGGTCCGACGTTGCGACGGAGCGCTATGCGATGATGCTTTCAGGTTGCTATCTATTGACACAAAGAGAATTATTGCATTATATTTTTTCGATGAGACGGGAGTATACATTTAAAAAAGTAAGAATTATTGAAAAATCTAGAATACAATAAATATTTTACTTTGAATTTGCACTTACTTAAAGAGCCGTGGCTAGAAACCCATCTACCAGGATCGTATTGCTGGGAGAATGGAACCGATTGAAAAGATGATCTTTCGGTACTAGGAGAAATCCGGTTAAGACCGGCATTGATTTTTTCTGCCTGTTGTTTTTGAAACCGAGGCGGCAGATTGTTTTGAAATTGTCGAGAAAACGTAGCGTGCAGTTCACGATCTCTAGTTTCCCTTTGATCGCGTTCGCGGTCTCGTTCTCTGTCCCGGTCGCTGCGAATGCTATCCGGTTGCCTTGCGAAACCTTGTCGCTCTGGTTGCCGGAAATCCGACATCAGCTGATCACGTGAATCTCTGCCGTCTTTCGGACCGTCCCTAGGCTCACGTGATTCACGCGTTAAAGACTTCTCGTCCTTTCCTTCAGATCGTTCGCGGTCTCTGTTCTCCCGTTCCCTACTTTCTCTGTCACGTTCCCAATCGGGTACGGAAATTGGCACTGGTGGAACACTTATCAAGCTTTTCGATTCGTTTGCTTGTTTCTCCTTCAATTTCTGTTCTAAGTCCTGTAATTTCTTAGCTGCCGCTTGTCTAGCTGATTCCTGATACCGTTTTTCTTCTTCCTCTTTACGTTGCCGAGCACGCTCTACAGCAGACGCGACTTCAACCACCTTAAGTCTGCGTCGCTCGTTCCACGCCTCGTCATCTTCTACGCCTATATGAATCAGAAAATTTGTACGTGTACATTACCATTATAGATAAAAACGACTTTACTTTTATAGTAGTGTCTTTTAGTCATGTAGATATACTGACCTCTCAAGGGATGCACTGCATGCAGTTGCGATTGACCGCTGTAATTGTTAGCTCCGTTGGAACCACGATAATCTCTGGGTAAGGAGCTCTGAATCCATGGACGATGAGTCGTTTGATCTCGGGATTCCTTCAAATCTCGATTATCGTGATTATCGCGGCCATCACGGTTTTCGCGGTTATCTCTTGTCTTCTCCCTCTCTTCTACAGAATTTTCTTCATTTTTCTCCTCCTTGCTGTCCCGCTTTTCATCTTTCTTCGATGAATCAAGATCAGGTTCGTCGTCGCTAAAGGCAAGCTTCTGATTGTAATCGATGTCGTCGTGCGCCGCCCATCCAGCGTCGCGAGAGATATCGTCCATACGAGTAAGATCTTCCTCTTTAATAATTGGGCGTGTGATAATTTCTTCATCGGGAACACGTTCGCGTTCTTGTTGACGTACAGCCGGGGCAGGGAATCGTTCCGCGGAATAATTGAACCGGGGTCTAGGCCCGGCAGAATTAGCGTTTGGCGGGAATTGTGGAGAAAATCCACCGGCAAAATTTCCTCTGTACATCTAAACTCATTAAGAGGAATCAAGTTGTTGAATGTTCTTGCATTAGAGAAAGGTAAAAATTATACATATCAATAAAAGAACGTACAAATGGAGGTATAAGTCCTCTGTAATGATGTAGATTTGGACCAACTTGATGAGAACTAGAACTCAGAGCGTTCTGATTGTTTGAAGAATTATGAGGGCCTGCCGGGACCATGCCCATGTTGGGAGACTGGGCCAAGTTCTGTCGCCCGCCACCAGGTATGTCGGTGTGTCCTCCCGATCCAGCGATGTTCAGAGGGGGGGCCTGGACCCCTGAACTCCCACTTCCGGAACCAGCTGCTCCTATTACCGCACCACTGGCCGTGCGACTTCCACCTTGTATCCAACTTCCTTCCGCTAGTACGAAATTTCAATTTATTTAAAAAAACTATGTATTAATTCTATGTAATATACAGAATAGTTTTTCTGTCATGCCTTCGGTCTCAATTCACGTATTTTACGATTATTGTGAATGTTCTGTGGAATAAGATTTATTCGATTTTATATGAACCGTACTTTGGGGCCGCAAACTCGGTCCAGGTCCGTACTGCGCGTTCAACTCCCGATTTCCTGTTTGTTGCTGCTGTTGCTGCTGCTGTTGTGATTGTTGTTGGCCTCCTGATGCAATACCTAAATGTTAAAACGTTAAACGTTTCCTAGTTATCAGTTTACGTTTCAGTTTGCCTCAACAATTTATCATACCGTCTCCAGATCTGCTCATTATTGCACTCCATGTTGATTTGTTGTTCGCATCTGTCGAGTATGAAGTCGGTGAAGTATTTTGTTGTCCTGGGAGTAATGAATGTAATGATGTTGCTGTGACAGTTCCGGTTACACATTGTGTGGTTGAAGAATTTGACTAGCAATGAAATAGTTAATATTTTTATCAGTTTTACATACAAATCAAAATTATTTAACGCTTTACAGATATGCATACTGTCATGAGACTTACCGTGGATGTATCTGATGCAGTTGCAGCTGTAGTAGTTGTAGCAGTAGTGATGGCAGTAGTCGACTCTTTAGTAGTAGCCCAACCGCTTCCTCCGCTTGGTACAAGACTGACAGCCGGATCGTTACTGCTATGTTCACTTTTTAAACTAGGCAGATTAGCAGGAGGTCGTCGTGCCGAGGGCACTTTCCCAAGACTTTGCATTCCATGTTTGCGTGGTAATGTGTTTTTTTGCTGATGTTGTTCTAAAGATTCTCCCTAAGTATACAACGAATGGGATACAAATTCCATTTCCTCTTAAGAACTTTTGTTAAGTGCATTTACTTATTATAGAAATACAAAATGCGCAAAGAAAATAGTAAACACGTAAGGAGAACATAGTGTATACGAATATAAATTTAATTATATGTGGTACAAGAAAAAACACATAGAAAAAGGAAAATGTAACAGATAAACAAAGAAAATAGAACAAAACTTTTTGGCCAACTCACCCTACTCACCCGGTACAAGCTATTGATGTCTAATGATTGGAATTTGGATTTTCCTTTCTCCCCCTTCGACACGAGCCCTGACAGAGTAGACATGCTGTCTGCAGGCAACCATTTAGTACCAATCAGACCCAAAGAACGAACCCTTTGTCTGAAATCATGATTGACATTTACATAAACTTCTGGCTTTAATCAATAATAGAACTAGATTAGATAAAAAAATTCACAAAGATTTTGGGAAATCTTTTATTACAATTAGAGAAAGATATAAAGAAGTAACGAACATATCCTGCAAGAGAAAATATATATGTGTGTAATAATATAATTGTTATTGACCTGCTGAATTCTTAATTATAATTATCATCAAGTATAATCATTCAGGTTTATAGTCAATCAAAACTAATAAAAGTGTGTAGACGGAGAAAAATATATAGAATTTAATTAAACACGCAAGTTATAATTAATATAAAGAGAAGAAAGAAAGGGAAAAAATAAAGAAAAGAAAAAACTATCGCGGATGGTAGTTATTAAATTATGCACGAAAATTGAATGGTAAATCAATATTACCTTACGTCAATCGTAACGCGCACGGGAAAATATTGGCAAAACAAATTTCGTAAAATTCGAGGGAACACTTATGGAGGCCGATAGAAAGTCGCGTAGGAGAGTTTCAGAAAGCTTTGTTGCAACAAACGAATGGGTACAAAGAAGACAGAGCGAGAGACTTATAGACGGAGAAGCAAATTGTTGAGCAAAATAAGCGAGAAACGATAAAAAAATGCTTGGAACAGCCGGAGTGTAACGATCGGACCCAACCCCTCGATCGCGATGTCAAACTCACAAAAATTCAAAACAAAAAGATTCGCTCCCAAGTATTGTTAAAATTCGACTAACTAGAAGTTATTGGTGGATATCACATACCGCGGAACGTCAAAATAACTCCGAGACGATGTCGGAATACAAAGGAATCCTTCGAGACCGAGCGATCAAGGAATAAAGTGTTAGATAGCAAGGTTCCCACGTAGAAAAAAAAGTTGGTACGAAAACGTAAATGAAAGAAAATAATGACTTACCTTGGTCCGTCCAAATGGGTTTCTAATTCACAAAAGGGTTAATTCCCAGTTAAATTAATTAATGTCCGGATCGCCGCGGATTACAATTATTACAAGCGTACCGCGCCTGCGAGACACAGAAAGTTCTTTTCCACAATTCGTCCAAGATGGCGAATGCGCGACTTTCGGCTCTTCTTCCGCGATCAATACAATTACGTCATGCGACCGAAGAGAGCCGTTTGCACAGACGCGCCACTCGTCCGGATTTTCTTGTCACACCTCTCTGATAAATTTCACAATTCGATATCTTTCCGTTTGATCATATAAAATATAATATTATCCCTGCTTCGAACAACGCTAAATGCACTTTTTCACGAGTTAAAACTATGCCACAGTACCCAATATCTTTTTTTACCTAACCGTTACTTGCGACGAGAAACGAGCGGAACATTCAGCAGAAATAAGTGGCGCTACTGCCTGCCTGCTGCGACGATTCCTTACCGCTCTGAACCAAAGTCAAATTGGTTACAAACTTGTCTATCCTTCGTGAATTACATTCCGTACAATTCGGGTATGTTTAGGATCTGCTTCATTATTATCTTATAATTATACGTTTCCCAATTTATTACGTATTTTATAATTAATTTGAAAGTGATACGTTCGATGTAGATTCCAGTCCATATCGAAATAAATTCGTGCATTTGATTTCGTTGGTAATTCTATAAAATTCAATATGGCCTTTCTCTGCGTCTATACGTAGATCGTATGTATATACATTTGCGTTTATTTTTTCTTAATGATGCGCTCTATGCAAATAACGAACGAGGAGCGTGAATGATATTAACAATAATAAAGAGCACATCTCGTTATCCATTAATGCCTGGACAATTATATCGAAGATGGTACGTGATAAACATTATTTCTCTTTGTATTACTAACGTTCACGCATACATACATGTATTGCACATGTACAAAAAGTGACATGGCTCAAAAATAAAATAATTTGATAAACACCTCTCTGTTCTATAAAGTTGGAACTTTAGTGTTCGAATCGACAAATATGTTCTGAATTATACTTGATGTGTTCGTATATCCATATTTACATAAATTATAATGAAATTCTTATTTGCAGAGTGTAACATTGCATACCGACGTTGGTGATATAAAGATAGAATTATTTTGTGAGTTGTGCCCAAAAACATGCGAGGTAGGAGTTTTATAGAATTAATTTTAGAACATTGAAAGAAAGTTGATAACAAAATGTTTATTTTGCAGAATTTTTTAGCCTTATGTGCTAGTAATTACTACGACAATTGCTTATTTCATAGAAATATAAAAGGTTTCATTGTACAAACTGGGGATCCAACACAGACTGGCAAAGGTGGGACGTCAATCTGGAACCGGAAATTTGAAGACGAATTTAAAGAAGAATTGAAACATAGTGCAAGGGGACTTATTTCTATGGCTAATAATGGCCCAAACACGAATGGTAGTCAATTTTTTATAACATATGGATCCCAACCACACTTGGACCTAAAATATACTTTGTTTGGAAAGTAAGTATACTTTTTACTTGTATAATGTAATATATAAACCATACTGTTCGATTTGTAGATTAAAAAGCATTGGTTTACTGTATGTTTTAGGGTAATAGATGGCTTGGAAACTCTTGAGCAGTTAGAAAAGTTACCAGTGAATCCCAAGAACTATAGACCACTTACAGAGACTCGAATAAACAGCGTGACTATACATGCCAACCCCTTAGCAGGATAAATGTAAATATATTTATATTTTAAAATACTATTTTATACATCTAAAATTTCTTAGAATTGAGAGAGACATTAATTTACAATTGTTTACCCCGAGTATCACACTTGTGTTAGCAGCTGTAGATCCACTGCATATCGTTTTCCATTAACTTCGAGCTCGTAATTACCATTCTCCAAGAATTCCTTTGTTATATCTCCTCCATCTGGATGCTTTATATACCTGATATTAAGCAATATTAATCACAATTTTCTGAATTCTATTTTATTTTATATTACATACCCGTGCCCTATCGCCTTTTCACAACTGTATCCCTTTTCCCCTCTTCGTAAATAACCAACTAGATGATTGTCTCTGTATATAACTTCTAGACCCCACAGTGGAATGGAGCTAGTGAAACACTCAATATTAGTATGACATAAAACTTAAATACAAATATTTACAATGATCTCACTGCTATACCTATCTACGTGAAGACGAACGAACTTCTTTTTTATCCCAGCTGTTCGCAATCGATCGATAACTGCTTTCCCTAAATATTCGCCAGACTCACGACAAATGGACTCAAGTCCAACTTCCACGGGATTATCATCCGTTCTAATATCTAATCCCCAAATGAGATTACCTGAGCATTTAAGTAATTTTATTAGTAGTAGTTTTATAAAACGAATAAGAAAAAGTAGTTTACCTTTTTCACAACTAAGACTAGAGAGTGCTCGATGTCCAGCGTGTTTCATATTGTACGGTTTACCGCACTCAATTAAGTTTGTATAAACTAGACGACACGACGATTTTGGAATGTGCAACTCGAAGCCAAGTTCACCAACCGTACTATATCTAATCAAACGTACTATTTCTCCTTTAACTTTCGCTAATCTTGTTGTTGCATATTTGAAAGTTTCATCTGAGATTTCATGTTCTATCAATCTCTCCACTAAGTTTCGACTAAATCATGATTTAAGAATTTTATTATTCAAATGAGCTCAAATAATCCTAATACATGCATGTAATACAATACCTATTAGGTCCTTGCACGGATAGAACACCAATTTGTTCGGTAACATCATGTAACGTTACGTCAAAACCTTTTTCCTCTATTACTTTACTCATGTGAGCCCAAGTTTGATAATAAGATGAATCGTTTGTGACTAAAAAAAGTAATCAATGACATGGTTAATCATTAATAACGATTAAGTTTGATACTGATCGTTCATATTTTAAAAAACGTACGTATGTAGAACGCCTTGTCTTTAAATATCGGATCCACGATTCCACTGGAGCCGGGCTCCAAAATTGTAACTGTACAGTCCGCTTCGATTCCTCCACTCCGATTCAACATAAGCGTGTAAATAGTTTCGTTGGAATTGCAGTTCGTACTTGCGGTGAACAAGTGGTCTGCCGCTTTTTGAGCCTCAGGCCCGCAAAGATAGAATTTTCCAATACTAGACACATTGAATAAAGCAACGCTTTTGCGACAAGCAAGTGCTTCTTCCCGAATCTAATTAAAAATCGTTTACAATTAGTACCTTTTCTACTTCGTTGTTTCACCTACTTCAATTTTAAAGTCTTACTATTTGATCGTACGGTGACAAATTAAAAGTACACTCTTTTTCTACTATCTCGCGGTATTTATCATCCCGATTTGTTTCGTTATAAGCGTATGGTAAAATTTCTACTTTTTTGTTTGAGAACCATGCAGGCCTCTCCCAGCCTTGGCAGTCTTCCATAATGGCACCTCTTTCAACGAGTAACTAAAATAATTAAGTAAAGTGATAATAAATTAAGAGATAATTAAGTTAAGTAGTGAGTTTACTTGTTACGTATTTATACAAGACTTCTGCGTAATTAAATTAATATTACCTCGTGGAAAGGGTCTGTTCTAAGATTCCTGCCACTCAACGGTTTGTCGTACGGAAATTTAATACCATAATTGTTTCCATAAGCTTCGTAAGTTCTTTCCTTTAACCAAGTAAAATTGTTTCTTTGTACCGGAGAAAATCTGAGCAGGCCAATAATAAAGGAATTTAGAATAGCTCGAAATTGAATGCTTTAGTAGCAAATTTTAAATAAAAGTGATGGAACCTTCTAATATCAAAATTGAACATATAATCATTCGGCCGCCCATTAATTATCCACTGCGCGATGCGTTGCCCGCATCCGCCTCCTAACATCATACCAGCGCTGTTATAACCGCAAGAATAAAAGAATCCCGAACATTGCGGATCCTCACCTTTCAAATTCGCTTAAAGTTAAAACGAGAAACGAAGGAAACATACATATGTATAAGTCTCTTTAAATACCCATAATCGGTTTAAGATCAGGAGTGAAGCTCTCCAGTCCGCATATTGTTTTCTTTATTCCTGTTGTCGATAGTTTAGGAACCAATTGCATCAAAGGACCCAAGAATGTGTTGAACATGTCCCAATCCACTTCGTAAAGACCGAACGCAAAATTTTCAGGAGCCTTTCGTACAAATGCGAAATTCGATTTACGATTCTATATTTGAAGTATACATTGCAAATTTAACTTTAGGACTCACAGTTGATATTTGAAATGGATTCTTCTCGTAACCGCCTATGTACATTGAATTTCCCTGGATTCGAACATATGTACTCATATCGTTGTCTCTGATATGTGGATAATTCTGCACTCCTTCCATGGTCTCAGTAATAGCGTAAGTGTGCTGAATCGGCATTACAGGAATATCTAAGTTAATCATGTTTGCTATTTTTTTCGACCATGCTCCAGCCGCGTTCAAAATAATATCTGTCTTTATGGTTCCGTATGGGGTTTCCACACCGTAAACCTTTTTCTTATTCAAAATAGTTTCCTTAGTGAGTATCTTCGTGATAGGACAATCTTCAAAGATCTATAAATGATTTAAATATCCGTATATTTCTTTCTTATAAAAGATATTAAAGAGTATTGAGCAGAAACTACCTGGGCACCATTTCCTTTAGCCGACTTTATTAAAGCGTTTATCAACATGGAAGGGTCAACGACCCCATCATCTGCACAGTAGAGGGCTCCTATAATACCTTCTTCGCTCATCAGAGGAAATAATTCCCTTGCCTCTTTGGGTGAAACAACTTGCGCTTCTACGCCAAAAACTTTAGAAACGGCTGCTATTCTCTGGTAAGAGTACCAACGTTCCTATAATAGATGTAAAATGAAATAGATCAATGAGACCGAGACTGAAAATAATGATATTCACTTTGGTGCGCGCAGGGTAAAGACCACCATTCTGTACCCATCCTGAATTCAGCCCTGTTTCGTTTTCCAGTGACTGAACAACTTGTTTAGTAGTAGCTAGTAATTGAATCTCAGTATCGTACGGCCCTCGTACTCCCCATACGAGACCTGCGGTGTGCCATGTCGTGCCAGACGTTAATTTCGATTTCTCCAACAATACAGCATTGACACCGCGCTTTGCTAAATGATAAAGGGCATTACAGCCCGCGTTACCTCCACCTAAAAGAGACAAAATAATCTTATTTTACGTGTCGATGTGCAATAGTAGCTAATGAACGTTCTCATTTACCTATCACTACAACATCTGCGTGATCCGGTAATCGTACCGCAGATGACGAATACCGCCGTCTTCCTGTTATTAATCTAGTACAGTTAATGCGCATTTCATATAACTAGAAATAACTTGATTTAATAACGATAATAAATATCATGCGAATCCAAAGAAACGTGCGAGAATACCTTCTGCTTCGTTGAGAGCATCCAGAGACGAGAGAGGCAATATGAATAAATATTATCTTCTACTGTTTTACTCTTTATAAATAAACTGTTCTATCTGGCTAGCTTATCAGTTGCTTTAACAACACGACCCTGTTTTTTAAACCGCACTAATCAAACGTTTACATTAATCATCTACTTGTGTGAAACATATTTTATGGATTAATATGAAAATATGATATACGTTCATTATTTTTTATCTTCGCTTCACACTTTCTGAATTGTGTGAACTGTTACACGGTAGATACCCATATATATATATATATTTATTTATCCTTAGTTTACAATTAAAATTATATTTATAACGTTATCTGTGTTGATCAACCTTCTAATTAACTTTGTTTATAAAGTTAAGTACTGAAAATGCGTCTAGCGATATGATATCATTCAATCGCAGTTTCTCCGTAATGAGATTTCTTAATTGGTGAACTTAAGAAATGATTTGATCGAACATGTTGTTTGTTAATTAACAAATACTGACACCTCGACGGCGTGTATATTCACATGGGACATATAACAGAAATTAGTTCGTGTAATATTTTTGTTTTATTTACTTCTTTTCATATATGCAATTATAAATGTGGCGAATGATAATATACATGGACATAACTGTGTCATTCGGATGTCGTTATTGCGCGCACACACGTAAACTATATACATAAATACATACACAGCCTTCGCATTATATAAACATTAAGTATAAAATATAAATTAAATAAATAACGAAATGAAACAAGAAATTGTTGTGAGCGCGCAAAAGGGTGCACGACGTAACAACTTACGTGTAGTAATAAACATAATTGATGCTAATAAGTTTGATAAGTATATGTAGTACATATTATAACTTGTGTATACCCTTATCGAAATAAATGAAATGTATTTGATCTTTTGTAGCGTATTTTGTAGTGGTATTAAATTTCATCTGCTTACATTTAATACGAACTCATACTCGTACATTATTCGTACGTGCACTATATATGTTGTTTTTCTTTCGAATAGCATAAAAATATATAGAGATATACGCATTTTAAAACAAAATGGAATTCATATTTGCTAATTTTCGATTTCTCAAGATTTTGTGCAATGAAAAATAAAAGTATATTCTTATAAATAGAACGATTATCAGTAGTAACGTGATGAAACTTGTAATCAATATTTGCGTAGTACACGAATTTACAAATTTTTTCCTTTTCAATGCGAGAGTATGAAAATGTACGATTTTTAAGCTTAGTTCCAAATGACACAGATTTACAAGGAAAAAGAAGAAAACCTATTACACTCGATCGAGTTACATTTAATGAAAACGAATGCAAAAAGAAATCATATCACCTACCTTTGGTATACGCAAATTAATACATATTACATCGATCAGCGACTAACTTTACTGATTCGTGGATTCGAGTAAATTGAATGTAGAAAATGAACCACGGAACTCCGACTAAAGCGATATATACTCTTCGCTAGCGAGACTGTCCGTTTCTTCCGTGTCCGAATTGGTCGCAGCTTGTACTCGCGCGTACTCGTCGGTGTCAATACTTTTGCAAAAGTGTATCGCGTATTTCAACTTTTGACGTAACACTGGCTTACAAGAATACCTCGGCATTTTCAAAAGGAAAAAGCACGTGTAACTCTCGGGAAGAAAATGATCCGGTGGGTTGTACTTGTCCATTACCTGAGTAATCCAGACAAAAATTATGAAGGAAATAATTATAAAATATTTTGTAACAAGATAAAAACCATCTGTCACCTGCAAGACAAAATCTCTTCCCCTAAAGTCGGCGATCGTTCGTGGTAAACGTGTTCTACCCCAAACGAATCGTAAAAACAATGATCTCTCTTGGTTTGAGAATTCTTCCATTACTTCCCAGAACCATTGGATCAATGGAGCGGTCGCTTGTATACCTAACGAAGTAAATGCATTACGAGAATTTCGAAGAAAATTATAGATATCAAGATTACAATGAAACATTATTTGTGAGTTTACCTTTGTAAGTTGCAACGGATTTGAGTAAGGTAAGCGGTATATCCGGACTACCGCACACCATCGTTTCTAATTCTGGGCCGCTGAACAGTGCCAAAAATGGTACAGGGATAACTTTCGACATTCCCTCGCGAACGGCAGTTACTTGAGCGTCGAATTCGTGTAATCTATAGTTCAATGCTAGCTGGACGTACTCGTGTTTATTTTCTGGTGTGATCTTTCGGTATCTAAAGGGAACAATTAATTACCATCGTGCACAAAAAGTCGTAAGCCACGATTAATTTTGACATTCATAGTTCGATCGGTGAAGAAACCGGTGAAGAAAAACTACCTGCTAGATAACGGTATATCGTGTCCTGCAGCTGATGGTGTGGAAAATGGCATTTCAAGAGTTTGAAACACTTTTTCGTCAGGGTCCATATCTCGGATACACAGTAAACCAGGAACATAGTCCCGATCGACTTCGGTCAAATCTGCAGGCGTCAAAGGCATACCGGCGAGTTGTTTCCACACAGGTTCCGCTAAATTCAAGCTCAGCGGACTCCCGGTTCTGATCGCTATACCCATTAGAATCCCGAGAAACCGGAACATATTCATGTGCAACGATGAATCAGCCGTTGGATTTAGTAAGAAACAATCTCTGTTAGTGCCGCTGTCGTCTCGACCATTTGGTGTCGGTATAAGTAAAGGCAAGGAACCATTTTGTAATTCGTCACACATTTCTGCTATACTCTCGCTATACCCGCCTCCGCAATCATCCACACTTTCCCCTGTTAAATCAAATCGATTTTTATTTTATGAATTCCTATTCACTTAATTTTTAAACCTTTATAAGCTACAAATATACTATACCTATGAATTTCACTTTCCAAACTCTATGAGGGAAGAACAGGACATCCTGCGTAAGCAAAGATAACTTCGAGACCATTTGTCCGAAAACAGATTTAATACCATCCGGACCAGCCAAGCCACCCTTACTTCTCGCTCTCTTTACTTGTATTCGATTCAATTCTATCACTGGGCCGTGCTGCCGATCCCTGACCATCGTCGCTTGAACCACTTTACGGAATGTCGCTTCTTTAATCGTATACACTAATATCGGAGCCAGTTTGCTCAAGCTAATAGGACCGGTGATTGGAAACATCGGTAAACAGGGACAGAGTAATTCGGCAAAGTGGTGAAGAAGTACCAATCGGTTGTGCAGTACAGGGAAAGGAAGATCCTTGACTAGATCGTACTCCATTGGAGTAGTGGCCGGCATTCTACTCTGTGTCGCCTTCATCGTGCTCCATGCCAAAGTATGCGCGCTACCGCAAGCGACCCGAGTAATCTTTTTACCCTGCAACGCGTGAACCAACTTCGGTCTCTCGCTAGCACCAGTCGTGCCGTCGCCTAACTGGCCTTCGTCATTGTCTCCCCAAGTGAAGACTTCTCCCTTATCGGAACAGGCCACGCAGTGTAACGAACCAGTCGCTATAGAGATGATCTTCTTCCCTTGAAGAGCCGCCACTTTGCGCGGTCTTCGAACGTGATCATCCGTCCCATGACCCAAACGATGGTAGTCCCCTTTACCCCTTTAGAAAATTAAAGAGAATGATAAGAAGTGCTAGCTTTATTTTATTATAAGTAAGGAGTGATCACTCGAATACTTACCATGTATAAATTGCTCCCGATCTGGTCAGAGCTACTGAAAATTGACTGCCGCACTCGACCTTAACGACACCGAGACCTTTGAGGGACTCGATCTTCATTGGAATCTTGCAGCCGTCGCTGCCTCCTCTACCTAGCTTCCCATAATCGCCGTCGCCCCAACTCCAAACGTTATCGTCATCGGTAACGCAAAGAGTTTGTGCGTCACCGCTTCCACATGCAACGTCGATTACTTTATAATCTTGCAAAGCTTCTACCAGTTTTGGTGACAATCGATCCTCGCTGTCTCCGTGACCCAAGCGTCCGTACCGACCTGAAGTAAACGAAACTTTTAATTCTCTTCACCGACAGAATACACAAACACGTTTTCCTTACCCTTTCCCCAAGTATAAAGCCAACCAGCGCTCGTGATTGCCGCACTATGATGACCACCGCAGGCAATGTCAACGACCTCGGTTCCTAACAATTCTTCGATTAGTTTTGGCCGATCGTACGACAATCTGTTTCCGTGACCCAACTTTCCGTCGTCGCCCTCGCCCCAGGAGTAAACGTGTCCCTCGGAACTCAACGCGAGACAATGTTTCCCTCCGGAATTTACAGCCACCTTCTTCACGAATACATGCTGAATTGATTCTAAGAGAGTAGGTACCATAACAGAATCCGTTCCTCCGATCCCTAGGCGTCCGAGAGCACCGTAACCTGCACGGAATATTAATAATAAAAGATAGGACAGCACTATTAGAGAGAGGAAGAATGAAAAGGAATAAGTGATTTACCGGTGGCGTAAACCTTTCCATCGGCCGTGACCGCGAACAAAGTCTGCTCGCCACCGGTAAGTTGAATTGGCCGAAGCGCGGACAGGCTCTCGCATAGGACGGGTAGCTTCACCTTTCCGCCTTCGAGGCCGCCTAGTTGGCCACGATGATTGTGACCCCAGCCGTAAATCGCGCCGGAACCGTCCCACGGCAGCGTCCAATCCTCTGGCCTGCGATTCAACCACTGCAGCAGCTGTTCGTCGTGCTCCTGCTTAAATAGCTCGTGACTCTCGTGATTGTTGCTGTTCGCTTCGCCGTCCGACATCATCTCATTGATTCGTTTCTGCACTTCTAAACAAAACGCTCTAGGTAGAGACGTTCGATTAACCAGAGACTTGGCTACGCGAGCGGATAGGCAGTATCTTCTGAACCAAGACCACTTGTGAATCTCTGAACAACATTGCATCCCGTCCAATTCCAGGTCACAAGCCAACGCTACTAAAACTTTAAAGAAATCACTGTGCATCAGTTGTTTCCCACCGCGAACCAATGGATCTTCGTAGGTGTACTGTTTAAGTAATGCCTGAGGCAATGAGCCGAGGAATGAGGAGAGAGCGACTTCAGGGCGTACGCCGGGTCCGCTGGTATAAACCACTTGCAGCTTCTTTAATGCCCACATCCGCTGCTGAGCCGACAACACGCTCAGCTGACTGCACTGAGCCAACGTGGCAGCCAATCGTGTAGCCACGTTTCTGTCCAAAGTGATCAAAGCGTTGTCGAGGAGGCATTCGGCGAGAGCTATAGCTGGTTGAGACAGAACCACCCTGTCCGAGACGAGCTCGTGCGGTGCGAGGCTCGCGAGTACCGGGTAGACGGTGAATCGCCATCCCCAGCCGTTCACGGATCCATCCGAGGAAAATCGCCATCGTAGTTCGTCACCCGGGATCCGGATCTCAGCAGCCCATTCGCTCCATTCCCGTCCCGATTTCACCGCGAGAACTCGATTACTTCCATCCATGATAGTCAGCGGATCGTGGCGTTTCTCCGTCGAACATCGCCGATCAAACTCGATCCTGAGAGTTTCTGCCCCAGGTATCTTCACATGCCCAGTTAGCGTAGTGCCGTCTATATACGGATGCGGACTTTCCTGTACTACTGGCTGCGGCATGTTAGTCCTGTTGTTCGAATTTGCTACCGTGTCTTCTAATTCTGTGATACACAGTTCCAATACCATACTGCGAATAGAACGATTCGATTTCGCTAATGCTATCAGCACAGAAGATATTGTCTCCTTGGCTCCTTTGCACACGCGATTAGCGACCGCGAGCTTCAGAAGGTCAACCAGCATCCTGGCATCCTCCTCCGTTAAAGTACACGTGAAATCGTCCAGATTCGGATCCGCGGTGACTCCGTCGCCGACGATCTGTGCGTTCGATGTGAGAGTAGCTGCTATCACGCTCATCGCACTGCTCGACATTTTTGAAGCACGAGAAGACAAACTTGCCGAACTAGACATCGATGGAAAAACTACTGCCAAAGGGTAATCCTCCGACTCGGGGCTAGTTCGTGGACTACTGTTCAGATTAACCAGTTCTGCTGGTGCTTCGCCACCGCCTTGAGCACTATCTCCCACGTTTTGGTAGACGTGATTGTGTCCACCTCCGTGTCCTCCGGTCACCGCTGCCTCTGGCAATGCTATTTCGGGCACGTTGTTGGTACCAGTTCCAACTCCAGCTCCGATGCCTCCAATGACAGTAGCCGCAGATGATTTTGACATAGTCGAATGACTTTGCAGTGCAGTAACCACCGCGATACGCGCTTGTATTATACGAAGCGCGTTTATCACGTGCTGCAATGCTTGCTGTTTCGCGACGTTGCTCTCTAACGACAGGATTATGCTGGACAAGGAAAGTCTGTTACCGGATGTATTAAAGTTATTGGAGATCGCGTCGCCGGTGCTGATTGCATCCACGGAATTAACAGGCGTCGAGAGAATAGTAGACATTCTATAAGCTTGATCCGTTTCCGTAGAAGATGTGATTGCAGAAACGATGCTAGCTCCGATATTAAATTTTAAAGATGTCTGACCGAGTGGATCCTTTGTAGTTGGGAAGGTAACTGGCTCCTGATTATTGTTTGCTGGCTGATCGGTCAACACCCAGGCGATGCTGTGGCTGGAGCCACAAGACACTCGATTCACTCGTGGATCGTCTAACTCGTGCACCAACGATGGTTTCTTATTAACAATCGTCGATCCATTTCCCTGTTGGCCGTGATCGTTGTCTCCCCAGGCGTACACTTGTCCGGTGTCGCCTACCGCCAGGCAATGAAGAGCACCTACGGCTACATGTATCACCTTCTTTCCACGTAATCCTTCGACTAGCGTCGGTTTACGGACGTGATGGTCATGACCGTGGCCGAGACGGAAGTAGTCGCCCTTACCCCAGGTCCAAACCTCGCCGTACTTGGTCAACGCGAGAGAGAACTGAGCTCCACACTCGATCTGTACGACACCCAGACCGTTCAGTCGATCAACCAGTAAAGGCGTATAACACCCATCACTGCCTCCGCGGCCTAGCTTGCCGAAATCGCCGTCGCCCCAGGAGTAAACCGAACCGTCAGCAGTCAGCGCCATGGTCTGTGCGTCTCTGCTGCCGCAGGCGACTTGGATCACGCGCTGACCGACTAGAGCTTGAACTAATTTCGGTTTCATTTGCGTTGCAGTGTCACCATGGCCCAATCTTCCATACTCGCCCAGGCCCCAAGTGTACAACTCTCCACTGCTAGTTATCGCAGCAGAGTGCCCCGATCCGCACCCGATATCTCTGATCCTTTTCGACTTGAAGGCCTCGATCAGCCTCGGTTTGTCCAGAGACATGGTGTTACCGTGCCCGAGTTTTCCGTCTTCGCCTTCACCCCAGGAGAACACCTTCCCGTCTTGAGTAAGAGCTAACGCGTGCTTTCCACCTGAATGCACAGCTACTTTCTTGAGAACGTACTGGCTGAGGAACGGAATGGGTTTCGGCTCGCATATGTTACTGTCGTCACCAAGGCCGAGTCTACCGTTGGTACCTTCTCCGCAAGCGTATAGTTTCCCTTCTTGACTGACCACAAAGAGAGTCTTGCTACCGCCGGCGATGTGAATGGGTTTTAACTTCGAGAGGACTTCGCTGTAAACAGGTAACTTGATCTTCGACCCGTTCAAGCCTCCGAGCTGATCCTTATCGTTCAATCCCCAGACATAGACGGCCGAGTGGTGCTGCGCCGGTGGCTCGGAACCGCGCTGCGAGCTCATCTGTTCCTGCACGATTTCCCAGTCCGAGGCGAGGAACGAAACGGACGTAGTTAGTTGATTCTCAAACATTTTTCTTTTACCGACTATCTGAAGGCCACGAATCCTACAGTCTATGCCACCGTTCCGGCATTGTTTTATTGCTATCTCGATACACGGATAATATTCCTTGACATCCTGGAGTAGTAGGACGCTCGTGTCGGTATGTCTGACGCTGATATCTCTAATCGTCGTTAGTTCTACCAAACTGTTGAACGATTCACCGACGTTCACTGCGATCAAGGACGGCATATAACTGCTGTCCTGCGGATTCACAATTATCTTCAACGAGTGTACCAGAATACCGGGCATCATCTCGATGCGAATCCAATGCTTTCCTCGGGAACCGCAGCTCTGCCAGTAGAGTCCCGAACCATCGACCAACCGCGTTGCCCAGCTCTCCCGCGACGAGACACTCAACGTCCGTATGCATTTAGGCCAGTCGTCGATCAAGGACGACTCAGTATAATCCTGTCTGTGATATCTGCCCGGTTTTCCAGCGTACACCGCCGCCGAACCTGGTTCCACAATCCGGTTGAAACCGTGGCGATGGCAGCGTTTCGTGTAGAAACAATTCTCGCAGAGATTGTAGCTGTCGCAATACTTGCACTTGAATCGAGGACCGGATATCGGCAGGAGATGACAGGAATTGCATGAGACGGAGTGATGACACGATGGAACCCGCTCCATTTCTATCGCACAGCCGGTCCAGCCGCTTTGCTGCGGGAAGTCTACCGACACGTCCTTCCCATTATTTATTATACCTGTGACTACACCGACGCTCTGATGGTTCACCGAGCCCCACTTGTACTTGGGTACGGTAATCGACGCCTTTACCCTCACTTTGTCACCGATCTTAAGGGTGGCCGGACCTGGTATCGTCGGCGGATGTCCCAAAAGTTCAATGTGGATAAACCGTACCCAGTAGTTACCACCCTTTTGTTGCCATGCTACTTGAACGTTCAAATCGTGTAAACCTTCCGAGTCGATCTTAATCACCTGACCAACGTCGCCATATTCCACTTCCTCGTAACACTTGCAGCATCGCACCAACATCCCCACGGTCAAGTTGTCCCTTACATAGATCGCATATTCATCGACGGAGAGGAAATCTGTTCGCTTCATGTAATTCGGGGGAGCTATCGAAGAAGAAACGGCGGGATCGTGCGTGGATGGGGAATCGTCTATATTTTCGCTGGTAGAATCTTCGGGGTCCGACATCACACTCGAGAGGGTATCACTGTCGCAGTCATCAGGATTCTCGAGCAGCCAAGCGACTACGCTCTCTGCTGTTATGCATCCTGCTCCTGTGCTGAGGTTCTTGATCGCGAACTCGACGCTCTTCCTCGGGAAACCCATCTCTGTGAGCTGCGCAACGACGGGGCTCATAATCAGAGGACTCTTCCGACCGCTGCTTCTGCAATGCTTCTTCTGGCTTGAAGTTAGAGATACCAGAGAACAATCTGATGCAGGTGACTCGGGTTCTGAAAACTGACTCGTTGCTGATGCTACTACCCCGATTATCCCCGATGTCGTTGCCCTCACTATCGACGATACCGCTCCTTGAATCGGCGAGTGCCTCAATTCAGAGGCCAAATACTGTGAAACGGCTAGGGCTGCTTCTTCCAATTCTCTTCGCTTAAATATAGGCTTCAACGGTTGCGGTCTTGTAGCTCTTATGAGCATCTCCTGGAACAGAGTCGTCCGTCTTGCACGAAAATTGTTTCTACCTTCGTTGCTATCTTCGCTATCGATCTCCCGATTCACGCTATCACCGGCGCCACGATTCTCCGTCTTCTCGATGCGGCTACTGCTGTTACTATTATTCTTAATATTCAGCTTGACGACGTTATCATCCTGATCGTCTTCATCGTTGTCCTCGTCGCCATCCTCTTCTCCTTCCTCTTCCACTTCAACTTCGTCTTCCATTCCACCGTTGTCATCATTGTTATCATCTTCCTCATGATCCATACTGCGTTTCACGTCGTCCTCATCGCGTCGTCGACTGTCGACCTCGAAGCTTTCTTCCTCATCCATTTGACCATCATTGTCGTTGTTGTTATGATTGTTGCTGCTGCTGCTACTGCTGCTACTGGTGGCGCACCTCTTATTGTTGATCGGGTACTTCAACACTTTTCTCAGCTTGGTCTGATGATCCAACATGGTCTTTCCGGCATTTAACGCGGCGAGTTGTTGCTGCTGGTTCCGCAAAATGGTTGCGTTTACCGAACCAGCTATCACCGGCATGCCATTTGGCCTCTTGTCCATTCCACGGTGACCGAGCAACAAATTGGCCCAAACGGGAACGAAACAGTCTGGAATGGGCATTCGGTCCAAACGGAACTTCTCGCCTACCCGTTTCATTTCGAAAAACGAAACCTTCTTTCGCGCCTCATCGTTATTACTTTCGTGTACGTGCACAAGAACTTTTGAGTGCTTAGTAAATCTGCATGTAGTGGCGAGCTGCCCGTCGATCTCTACGGTTCCTCCAATTCTCGGTCTGTCGTCGAGGCCACCGACGACAATGAGAGCCGCCATCACTGTGTCTTGAATATTCACGCTGTTCTCTCCGCCATTCTCATTCACCTGTATGTGGAACAAAGGACCGTCGCTCAAGAGGTCAGAGGCTAATGATAATTTCGAGGTCAGAAATGTATTCACGGTCGCGTTCCACTTCGACAGGGAATGCAGATATCTGACCAACGAGACGAGCTCCTCGGCTACAGTAGAACTGTGAGAGGCAGTCAAAGACACACGACATTTGTTGGAGTACAGCTCCGACGTTATTCCCAGATCGCAGGTAAGCGCGATGTGACCCAGTATACGAAAGATCTTTTCTAGTAGTGGCATCTGCTCGGAACTGTCGGCTGACCAAGAAGGTAGAACGGCGGCTAACAGACGCACTGCCATTATCTGTTTCTCCAGGTCCGGATTTCCCTGCATGGCTATTATGCTCAGAAGGAAATCGATCCACGGCTTTGTGCTCAGGGCTTTACAGAGCTCCGTGGACTTAGCGATCGCTCTCAGCGTACCGAGGGTCGCCCAGATTTCATGATGTTCTCTGGCGAGTTGCGATTGCGTACTCGAGTCGGGCTTGTAAGCAGAAGATATGATACCGCGTAAAATGGAAGCGAGCACTTTTATAGCAGACGGAGCTACCCGGTCCGCTTCGATACCGCAGCACAGCAGAAGAACGCGTAACGTGGTCACAGAGGCAGACTTCAGGCAGGTCGTTGGATGTACATCTGCGACGTCCTTGTCGATTTTAGCTAAATCTTGCGGCGAGTCGATATCACTATCTGTTTCCGGCGGCGTCGGAGGCTCAGCTAGCTTCAAATCATACTTCCCTTCCTTGCCCATGCGATACGAGTTGGTAGCACCGGTGTCCCATTGCACACGGATCCAGCCGTCGTCGCCCAGTTCACCGATCACGCTACCTTCGCCAGGCGGAGGTCCGTCCTGATCGCCCCACTTCCAGTCCACGCCACGGACCACTCTTGTGCCGATCTTCATCAGAGGTGCTAACTCTTTGCCAGTTAGTTGGACGCTCGGTGGTTTGTTCTTGTCTAAGCTATCCTCGTATATCACCAGCGAGTCTCTCGGCTTGCCTGTTGCGTCCGCATCCGGTGATGAAGATGGTCCGATCTGTCTGAGTAGTGTTAGGATACTCGACAGTGTACCAGAATTAATTAGCAATCCAATCTCGTTTGCGTGCTGATAATTTGTCAGCATGCCCAAGATCGTTAACAGAAATCTGGCTCTGGGCAATTTTCTCAGCCAAGTATAAGTTCCCTGGTTCAAGCTGCTCTTATCATTGACCTTCGGCTTGCTTGGTAATTCCGCTTGCACGATGTACGCTCGCAAAGCATGTACAGCCCAGGAGCTCACCTCCGCTTCGGCCAGGATAATCCGCGACTTTTGATAAGGCGTTATCGACTCGATGTTCTCTAGGCAATGCATTATTCCATCGCTGAGTGATTTATTCTCATGGGAAAGACCCAACCATCCATTCAATAGCGAATACTTCACCGACGTCAATAGATAATCCTTCTTCAACAACTGCTGCATCATCAAAATTCCCTGTTCGCGTAACTTAGCTCGTTGCATCTGACAGTACATAGCACGGCGCAATGTCTCGACGTCTGCTCCGTCCTCGGTAATCACGAAATTTATAATGTTCGCCATCAGCTCGCTCGAATCGATATTCAAACTCTTTTGTTTCATCTTCTCGGTGATCTTAGCAAACGCTTTTCTTGTTCCCGTTTGATTTTCCAGCTTTGGAGAAGGCGGCGGCTGTCTGTTCGCTTCCTTCTGTGTTGGCATCGGGGACGGGGTACACGTCGACAAGGGTGTCGGCGCCGACGTCGCCGTTGGCGTTGCTATCGGAGTAGAAGCCGGAGTCGGTATTTTTATCGACGCCATCGTCATCACTGTCGCCGAGGTTGGCGTTGACAACGGAGTTGAGGTTGTTGTTATTACAGTCGACATTATCGGTGTCGTAGTCGTCGTCGTCGTAATCGTATCTTCATCAGATTTGTTCTTCATCTTCGCGCTCTGAATTGAAGCATTCACGATATCCTCTGGTTTACCCGGCGACTTTTTGTTCTTTCGAAAGTCCCTGATCATCATCTCGACGGTCTTCCGCAATTTACCAACAGTATGCAACAACTTGAGATCCTGCAACCCCTTGATTTCATAACTGGTCGCAGACCTTACCTCGTGCAGGAGAAATCTACACTTTTCCTGTGCGGGTGCGCATACTTCCTTGTAACTTCTGTTTTGTTGTTGTCTAATCCTAATCAAATTCCATTTGGTTTGATGAATAGTTCTCACCATTTCGGCTAGTTGCTTCGTGAGCTTCGAGCCGATCTCTGTTCCCGTTTCCTGTTGATCGATCAAGTTGATCACCTGGTGGCCCAGAGCGAGGTGCTTCACAACAACTGCCATTAGCAATCGACTGACTTCCTCCACCGGATGATCGCCTGAGAACTCTGTGTGCGCCAAAAGGTTGTTAGCTTTCGAATATTTATCGACAATCGTCAAGAAGGAGTGAACTTGAGCGTCGGTCTTGTGCGTCTCGACCAGGGCGTGAACGAACGCCGTGACTCGGTCATCCTCTCGTCGTTCCTTCTGCGGCTCGTTTTTGGTGCGCACAGGAAGCGGAGGTTCCGTAGGTGAGTTCGCAGCAGTTGAAGTGTTGCTTCTCGCCTCTCCTTTCTCCTCCTCATAGGGATTCGGTGGCTGCAACACCTGCAATCCACCTCTAAGAAAATTGGCGTTCAACCAACGACCAGCTTCCTCTTCGGCTGTCTGCAGCGGCAAGCTCTGTCGCATCCTATGACTGTGAAGTCCCAAAAGAAAACCCAAAGCTCTCTCCGTATCCAACAAACAGGAACAGACGTCTGTGACATCGATTGTGATCTCAGTATTTTCTGGTTCTGATTGACAATAATGGCCCACGAAATATGAGTCCATCATAGACTGAGGTAGCTGGCAACGAGATGAAGTATCGACCCCAACAACTCTCTGAAGAGTTTCCAGGGAATTCGATCTTCCATCGAATCGTAAGTCCTGAACGTCGTACACGTTTTTGTTCACCACGACCCAAAGTCCACCGTCGCGATTATGGTTCTCTAAGTCAGCCCAGCGGATAACCGATGGCTCGTCGGACATCGATACCTTGTTACCATGCTGCGGAGCTATGATACCCGGCCAGGATAAATCATCCGTCTCGTTTTTCTCTATCGTAGGTATCAACTTATTAAAACGGTCGAGAGCATCCAGTATCGGTGTCATTATCTCCATCCAATTCATGTTGAGCAACAGCAAGGGATAATCGAGTTGTAGCAAGATGAGACAGGTGATCAGTTCAGGCAACAAAACGGTTACAATATCGGCTCGCAGAACTGTGCTGACGAAAACGAACTGTTTAACACTGGCATTAGCCAGTTCGGCTGCAAATGCCATTATATCGGTCACGTGAACACAGATCTGAGCAACATATTTATTCAACAGCGACTCTGCGCCCAGCATCTCTTGATCGCGACGGCTCTTCGTTCCAACGTCCTGGATACATTCGTACATTTGTGCGATCAGCAATCGTTGAAATTTCAACAAGAGGTTCAAACTAGGAGAGTTGTCATTCCTTTGCGATTCTTCATAATTATGGGTCATTTGTTGCACAGCCAGTAATTTCGAATGTGTAATATAGGTACCGTTTCTAATCAATTGTTTCACTAATTGAAGCAAAGATATGCTCGTGTTGTTCTTCTCCGAGTTCAACTCCTTTGCCTGTTTCGTATCTGTCGACTTGCTGCTCGCAAGAAACTCTTTCCCGTCGGCTAGCTCACTCGTCTCCGCGTTCACCGCAGTTTTCAATGCCAACTCGAGACCGCCGTCCGCCATCAAACTGGAAACTAACAAGTCTGCCATAAACTGCTGGCCATTGCTGGTATTTATTTGCTCGAGATTGGCGCACGTTGCTTTCGATAGAAAATTCGACAAGGTTTTCGCACGTTCATTCGCAGTGGGTAACAAAATGCTCCAGCCGGTTTGTAAAACAGCTTGAGCCGCTTCTTGAATGGTCGCTAGGATCCCTGGACTACTCGCTAGCGCAACGCAACGCTGCTTCAAAGAGTTCAACAATGGGGTACCGGCCAGTCCGACCGATTTGCTGTCGATGTTGTGCGTTATCATGGTGTGCAACTGTAATCGAATTAAATTTAATGCAGCAACTGCCAGACACTCTCGATCTTGAGTAGGTGGTCGCGTGCCTGGCAATCCTTCGCACGTTTTGCTTAGCAACGTATCCAATAGTCGGAAAGTTTCCTCGCACACATCTACGACGAAAGCCACCCGGTTTGCAACCGACCAGGCGGACGTGCACCAAGCAAAACTTTGCATCAGTCCGCAAGCCAAACCAATCACATTTTTGCCAGACAGCGTTGGACAAAGCGTCGGCTCTGAGACGACAGTACACAACGCTGGATCGATTTGACCGTAATCGTTTCTACCCCAACCATATACCAGCTGATCTTCGGTCAACGCAAGCACGTGTAAGCTTCCCACGCATAGTTCTTTCACTTTTTTCATTTTCAGTGCTTCGATCACTTTCGGATATCTCACTTGTTCCTCGTTTCCGTGTCCCAGTCGGTAGGCTTCGCCCTTTCCCCAGGTGTAAACTTCACCATACGCCGTTAATGCTGCCGAGAACTGACCACCGCAATACACCTTTGCTACATTTATGTCTAACAATTTATTAACGATCTTTGGCGTCTTTGATCCATCCCAACCGCCCCTGCCGAGTTTTCCATAGTTACCATCGCCCCAGGAGAATACGATACCGGAAGCTGTCACGCATAAGGTCTGAGAATCTCCACTGCCGCATGCCACGTGAACGACCATGTGTCCGTTCAAAGCTGACACTAACGTCGGTACTGTCACGTTATCCGAATTCCCGTGACCCAACCTTCCGTAATTTCCTCTTCCCCAAGTATACAGTTCACCGTTCGAGCTAAGAGCCGCAGAATAGGTGCTTCCGCAGGCTATGAATGTGATATTCTTCTCGACCAGGGCCTCGATTAGTTTCGGCTCGTCGTACCAAGTTCTGTCCCCGTGACCTAAGCGACCACCATCGCCGTTACCCCAAGAATAAACAGAATTATCTTGCGTCAGAGCTAAATAGTGTGTTCCATCTGGATGTGCAGCGATCATAGTAACTGGTTTTTCCAAGAAACCATACACCCTCTGCGGATATTGCGTTTCAGATCCATAATACATCATATAAACATTTCCATTATTTGAGAGAATCATCAGAGCCCTTTCAGCGCAACAAAGTTGTTTAACACCGAGCTCCGCGACTGCATCGCAATAAAATGGAGAGGTTCCATTGCCAAATTTCAAGCTGCCCCAGGCTAAAACTTCTTGGACTGTCTGACTATGGTTCTTTTGGATCCTATCGGTAATTATCGGCGGCAAAAGAGGAGCGGCCAATCTGCTCAGATTGCACATTATTATCACCGCTGCTTTTCGTAAATCCACGGACGTGGTATCGTCTTCGGGAAGCCTTAAATATTTTAGTAAAACCTCGCAAGGACCCGGCAAAACGTTCGCGTCTTTCCATCTTGATTTAGACGTTGGTATCATGTTCAACCGACGCAGTAACGGTACCAATGGCGCTGTGCTTCCTGGGGGCATCACTCGATTATCTTGATGCTTATGCTTGCCGCTCAAGTGAAGTAACAGGCAAACGGAATCCAATAAACTCGATAACGTAGCCCTTTGCGTCACCAATTCGAGCAACAAACAAAGAGCCGTATGCTGATCGGTTAGTGGGATTGGACACGACGATTTTCCACTGACTATATCCCCTGTAACGACTTGTCTTAAAAATTTCGCTGATCGTTCCACTACTTCCAACCAAACTTGAGAAACATTGGTTTCCTCGAAGAGCGTAGCTTCAGGCAATGATTGTAGGGCCTCCAACGATTCCGACAGGAGTTCACTGCAAAATTCTATGTCTTCTCCGGACCTCCAAGCTCGTCTTAAGTATGCGAATGAAAAATTTAACGCCGCGCGAGATCCCACTCGTGCTAAACCTAACGTTGCTTTCTCGTTCGGTCTCACAACTTTCTGTAATTTGGTAATAGGCTTCGATGCTGCGGGAGTGTCTTTAGACTCTTGCGGTTTATGCCGAGAAAGAGCCGTGAAATATCGTCGCGCCACTACCAAACGTTGTCTCAATCGTGTTGCAGACAACGTACTATTCGCAACTTCGTAACACAATTTTCTTTGTTCCTTGATCAATAAATTAATGCACGATGTTAAGTCGGTGACGGCTGAAAGATTTTTCAAAAATTACAAGCAGGTACAAGATGTTTCACAAGTGGGAACTTTGTTACTCAAAATATGATAATTACATGGTTGAGGACCCCAAATCCAGGAATCCATTATACGTTCTACCGATACACTTTTCTCTGTTAATGCACTTGCTCTTGCCAATTCTTCTTCATCTAGTTTCTGACATAATCCACAGTTGCATCCAGTCTGTGGACCACAAATCCCATTGCAACAGAGACAAGATAACACTCCCATATTACAATAATAATGGCCACTTTCACCTGAAGTAATTAGGAAAATAATATACGATTAACTGAAAACATGCATTAACTAAGTTTATGATGATTCTTGATACCTTTTCTAGCTATCACGCCTGCTGCATTAACTAGGCTATCACTAAAGGAACCTACAATTTCTCCATCTCGTACCATCTCATTCCAAAGTTCTGCTAAACCATCCTGATAAAGCAAACGCTTCAAATCGGTTTTGAGCCATTTGGCATCCAAGCGGGCCTCTGGTCTCATTATAATATCCAATTGAGTACTCATGTTGCAAGTGTTACTATATGTACTGTTATGTTACCTCAAATTCAGTTTTAATATTTCTAAAAATGATTTTGACACTGCAGTTTAACATTCAAGTCACTTCCTTTACTTACATTATTACATTAAGTACGCTTACATATTGTTTATAATTCTGTCATACTTTCATCATTGTGCATGTCTGTTCTATATCCACCTCGTTCTTAGTAACCCAAGTACTTTGAAACTTCGAAATTGAACATCGAATCCGATGATATTACAATTTTAAATGATTCCCAATTATCGTCGAATTCACTTCCTATAGGTTAATCAAAGCAGCGAGATGTAATTGAGTAAAATCTTTGATTTTTCATGCGCTTGTGTATTTGGAGGGTTGCAAGTTCAACCTGGGATAAAACAACCAATATTTATTAGAATTTATGCTTGTCTTCTGTTAACATCTATAATTGATAAAAGATCAAACTTTCTATACGTACACGGATTACGATTAAAATTGTCATTTTCCGGCTTATTAAATGCGGCGTTTGCACAACGCGATTGCATTTGATCACGACATAATTAACTTTATTAATTTTCGCAAAAATCGCACGATTTTCGGCTAAGTATTGATCGTAAAAAAGCGAGCCATACAATTTGCAGTGTCGCAGTAAACAATACGGAATTAAATATACAGAGCATATATCCACGACAGGCGTGTAAACTAATCGGTGTCTTTAAATAAACAATTAGCTTTTACGTATTCAATCACTGAAATATGAAAGTTATTTTGTCTAACTTTTATTCACTGCCAATCAATCGTTGATTTCGGTGTGGAGGAACCTAATGATTTCAGTTCAACGATTTTGTACACATTACCTTGATTATTTTAAGGAACTGCTCAGATAAAAACGTAAACAATGAGATTCATAAATGACGATCATTCAGAATATTTAAAATATAAAAAACCCATGATAATGAGTGTCTAACCATCAAACAAAAATTGCTTTGTTAAAACTTTCCCAATAGAAATTTTCATAATAAACACTGAATAAGTTTTCTTATTATTCCCTATCTCTCCATCCTCTCTTACGTATGAATTGATTAAAAAAATAATCTCTGACGATCTTTTTAGTAGGCTGAACGATCAGCTGTGACTATTTGATTACAGTGTCGAGCAGTAGGAGTAAGATAGGAGTGAATTCAAATGATTGTATGTATTAAGAATGTAAAAAACCAAACCTTGAAAGCACCAAATTAATTTATACACCTGAATAATTACACGAAATTCATCGTTCACCAATTTCTTCAGATGGATACTTAGTCGTTACATATTGTGATCGTTACATTACAGTGACAATTCACCAATACATATGCACAAATTGACTTTTATGTTTACTTCTGACGAGAAAAAATACCATGTGATAGTCCATACAAGCTTTTCTTAAGTATTTATTACAGAATAATCTGAAGCAATTTTGTTAGAGATATACGTCAGAATGCTCAACTCGCTGAGGAACACACTCATCTGCCAAATTAGAAAATACGGTGAGGAATAAGTATAGGTGTGATGATAAATGATAGGTTACACGTTTTCGTGCATGCTCCCCTGTAAATGAGAATTCTTCACAGTATAAATAATAATTTTAGGAGAACGAGCGTACACGCGACACTCGTTAGATACAACTACGAATACTGTAAATCGATGTCAGACCGCGGAATCGTCGAGCATTCTTTGCCAATCATGCGGTCAACCGACACCGACGACGCATCCACATTTAATGAAAGACGGGGAAGTAGTGCCTGGCGTTCAACTATGCGAATTCAAACAGAGACGGAACAAATTGATGGAGAGCATTATCTCCCATGCTTCCGTTGCAAACTTAGGGAAATCTCATATTCTGATTATTCCTTCTTCATCCAAGATGTACATGTCCGGCAAAATTCCTTACATTTTCCGTCAGAACACGGATTTCTTATATTTCAGCGGTGTCCAAGAACCTGACAGTATTTTGGTAATCACAGCGAAACAAGAAAACTTTGTAGCGACTTTATTTATGGCGCAGCAAGATCAACATGCAGAATTATGGGATGGCCCTAAAACTGGTATCGACATAGCGCCTAAAATGTTCGGTGTTGATTCAGCTCTTCCTGTAACAGAATTTGAACAGTTCTTCGTTTCTTTCATCAATGAAAATAGAAAGTGTACCATTTGGTATGATAGTATCGATGTGGCACAGCCGAATTTACATGGAAGACTGTGTGAATTAATGAAATTGACCAGTGATCAAACACTTGTTTCTCCAACAAGCCTAATGCACAAGATTAGATTAATTAAGTCACAGTCTGAAGTAGATTTAATGAAAAAAAGTTGTGAGATTGTCTCAGCAGCAATATCCAAGACCATAGAGGTATCTAGACCTAAGATGAATGAACATCAATTATTTGCAACTGTAGATTATGAATGTAGAATGAACGGAGCCGAATTCCTAGCATATCCGCCAGTGGTTGCTGGGGGTAACAATGCCAATATCATACATTATATTAATAACAATCAGATAATTCAGAACGGAGATATGGTTCTGATGGACGCAGGTTTGTTAGTACACTCGTTATTGATACAAACAAATGTTTCAGTCTTTTTATCCATTGTTTCCTTTTCATATCAAATCTTGTTTAGGTTGCGAATACCATGGCTACTCTTCTGATGTAACTAGAACCTGGCCAATTAATGGAACATTTACGCGAGAGCAAAAAATTTTATATGAGATCGTACTGGACATTCAAAACATTCTAATCAATAAATTAAAAGAACTGCCGTCGTTAGATCAATTGTACCACGATATGTGCTGCTTATTAGGCAAGAGATTACAACAAATCGGATTGATACCTAAACATTTAAGTAGAAATGAATTACTCTCGGTAGTTTATGCGTACTGCCCGCATCACGTGAGCCATTACCTGGGAATGGATGTGCACGACACAGGCAAAATTTCTAGAAGCATAAGACTTCAACCAGGAATGATAATTACAATAGAACCTGGTAGGATACAAAGAAGTTTAACTTTTGCGTTTAAAGTAATTACATTCTTCGTTGTTCGTAGGTATATATGTCAATTGTAAAAATCGATACGCCCCTTCGGAGTTTCATGGCTTAGCTGTTCGCGTTGAAGACGACATTCTAATAACAGAAAGTGATCCGTCAGTGTTAACAGAAAGCTGTCCAAAAGAAGTCTCTGAGATAGAAAATTTAGCTAGTCGATGTTCGTATCGACGTGACAATAGCGGTAATTAATTTGCGCTCTACTACAAGAAATTAATCATTCTGTTTTATTTCAGCTGGGTCATGTGATGGATAAAAATCAACAAAAAATATTGTATATATTTATTTCATTCGTAAATTTGCTTGAACGGGAATGATTGAACGTTATATACTTGTAACCAATAAAGAAATATTAGGAGAAAGAGTAAAACGATATACACAATAAGGGCCAACATGAACATTTAGGGACAATTCAGTTTATCCACGAAATGATTAACTGAGCACGTACAACAGTATGACATTAAACTAAACTACAAGGTATTTATATGGTACGTTGGATAAATTGGTGAAACGATGATAATTGTACACATTTGTTTTTTAAACTATAAAACGAGATTCTTCAATTTGGCGTCGGCTTGCTTTAAAGCGATGAAATTCATCAATTGCTTCACTCGTAGACGAGCCCAAACCATATGATCGTGCAGTGCGTGAACCTGAGCGGCTGCTAGAGCTGCGCTTTCGGGATATGCGACCGTGGTGCATCCAATTCCTGCGGAACAGAATCACATTTATCGGATAATTTTCTTAAAATCAAAAACATAAGCACGATCGTAGGCAATGGCCAATGATATTACCTGAGGGAACGTTGATGGAGGACCACAGATCTTGTGAAATGTTCTCTGGTTTAAAAGGCGGACAATTAATAACAGGCAGGCACGTGTTTCCAGAAAGTACTGGACCTAAGCCGTTGCTCCTCCCTGCCACGGCTATAAGCACCACCTACGAGTAACAAACAAGACTTTCGCGATAACTTCGAAACAAACAGTGAACATTATCATATTGTTTTGGCGATTAAATGGTTCTCTGACGTATGGATGTACGTCCGAGCGATACAGAGTCCGTTACGTGTTCGATTAATACAATACGCGCAGCGAATCAACCAACGTTTTCGCTGCAATTATTATTTATATTCAGATGAATGTAAATAACATATTTTTTTATAAAAAAATCCCTCGAAATGTTGAATTTATGAATAGAATTTATGAAATTATGAATAGAAATGTGTATAACTTAAAGTAAATTGCTCTTATGGAAAATTATGCATTTTGATGTATTCTTAAAAAGAAAAGCATGTACCTTCTCGTAATCGCCTTCATATTCTGCAAGGATGCGCAACGTTTCTTCAGTCCCTTTGTGAGCGCTAGATACACGAAGTTGGACGTTCAAACGCAGAGCCTTTGCATGGTTTGCTATTTTTTTACAATGTTCCTCATCCGATGGTGATCCCATCAAAATAACAACAAGACTGCTAACTGGTGGAACGAGGTAGTCGAGTTGATTTGCCACCCACTCGAAATTACGTTTTACGGTATCTAAATCTTTCTCGGTTACGGTAGTTAAATTTCTGTACACTTGTTTATCCTTCATCAATCTCTTGTCACCCGATGGCCAAAGCCTCCAAGAGTCACTGTCAATTATATCTGCTACCATAATTTCCCCATTTACATCTATACCAAATTCTATTTTCATATCTATAAGAGCACAATTTCTAGTTGCCCATGCTCTTTCCAGCACTTCAAATACCACAAGAGTAGTGCGTTGCATAATATCGTACTCATCTTTCCCTATTACAAGGCCATTTAACTTGAACTTGGCCGAAATAAGTTGCTGTTCTGACCACTGAGGATCATGATTGGCATCGTCTTTAAAAAACGTTTCCTGTAGTGGTGGGTGAAACCTATATCCTTCGGGTACTCCTGTAATATGTAAATAAACTCCTGTAAATATTTACACAATCAATGTAAAGATAATTATTATTTTATACCTTGATGTCTTTTCAAGAAGCTACCAGTGGCTAATCGTCTGGTAACCCATTCTATTGGGACCATTTCACATTTTCTTGCAAGAAAAGTGGTATCATCTACTACTTTGACAAATGCAGTTTTTAGCCCAGCCTCGTTTAATAACTGAAAGACTTTTGCTGTGGTAGCTGTACTAATCGCAGCCTTCCCTTTCAAATCGTGGGACTTGACACCATCTCCACTAGTAATGCGATCCTTACTTTCCAAGAGGCATAAGCTAGGATCATTTTGGAGATTGTAGACCTTTTTGGTCTTTCCTTCAATGATGAGCGCACCGCGTTTGTATTCTATTAAAAGAAAAATTAAACTTCCATTGGCTTTTCCATTTATCATTACTGAATACTTATATGTAGTTTGCTAATGCTTGACAAAGTGTCTTACAAAATTCTAAATAAAACAAAGCAGATCGTATATTTAAATCACAAAAATAACCACACTAATTAATTTTAACAAAAACGCTTGGAGTGATTGCATACAAGGTAAAAACAAGCATAAATCGATATCGATTATTTACAAGGAAACATCTGCATGTATGTAAATACAGTGCTGTAATGATATTCCATTACCTTGATTAAAAATCATTATTATCAATTCTCAATGCGCATTCTACGATACTAGAAAATACCGTTTTGATTTCGAAAAGTAAAATGAAAAGAGATTGCTCATGAGAGCATAAATAAACAAGCGAACTTAAACAGAATGAAAATTCTTCCTTCTTGCTCGAAGCAAGTTTAATTAAATCTGATACTTACCGGTCATGTTTCTTGATTTCAGTTCACTCTGCGAATACTAGCTTATCAACTTCTCGTGTGATAATGTCTTTAACGATCCCCACTTTTAAAGTACAACTCCTTAGCGATTGGTTTAAATTTATAAATTATCTTCTATTATACGGGTTAGACAGTAAATCTATGAAAAGGTCATTATATACAATAAGCAGATCGAACAGTGCATTCCCACCTATGAGGAGCTTGGGAAAAGTTCTGGTAAATTTATTGTATAATTTCATTGATTATAATTAATGTTTGTGTTGAGATTCTTTATATCTTGTAGGAACAGCAAAATAAACATATTATGCGAGATCGGAAGAAAACAGTTGAGCACAAACAACCAATACTATGGAAAACAACAGCATTATTTTAAACAATATTATTGTCATTATATAATAGCAAAATTATCTTTTATCGTATAATTCATTCGAAATATATTTTCTTGTCTTATACTTTCTTAATTTGCGAAAATATTCCTAATCGAAGAAGAAGTTGTTACTCAGGCGAGTTTGATGCATGCTACTTGGTGGTATAATAGCAATATATCATAAAACACAAGTGGATTTATGTTCAAAATAATAAGAATATGAAAACTTTCTACTAGTCGAATCGTTTAAAAGCACGATCATAGCTGAATAAGCTAACCCCTCCAGTAAAGAGCAGATTTCATTGGTCAATGGATCTATTCGTATGTTCTTCTAAGACCAGTCGAGAAACATTTCATACGGATCTCTTTCAAGCTGACAGAAAGGACAGACACGGACAGAACATCACGAGTCACGACGCTCGAACGCACGTGGTATGTATGTACGAACATAAGACTAAACTTCGTATTAATTAAATGAAAATGCAATTAATAATACGTGGTAGATCGTTAACAAATCAAATTCACTCAAAAGACTTTATTTAGAAGAATGTTAATTTAAAATGAAATATGTATGTCACACGTAGATTCATCTAACAATAAGATGGTCCACCAAATTAGACATAATGGTTTTGGGATATAAAAGAATTCTTAATAAAATTACTCGCTTTCCTTACGTAGAACTTTATATTTTTGTTTGTGGTAGAAAGTAAGCGTGACTTATGTTTACTTGTTTACTAGGTGATATTCCATTTACTTGATCTACCCCGTATACGCATACGTATACTTATGCAACAAGTGGGTACATTCTACGATAAAATTATCGGGAATGTAATATAATTACAAGTAAACTCGTGCTTTTTAAAGTTCCGTAGATCGAATTTTAATAAACACAGTTAAATGTATTCCAATTTCATAAATATGATCCGTACGTGTCGTAATGCAAGCTATGTATATATATTGCAAAGAAAGGATTTTAAATATAAAATTGTGTTATGAATTTAACATCACAGAAGATTTCTTGGACGTAATTAACGATTATGATAACAAATTTTGTCAAGACCTTACAATGTATTTGTATGTATATCATAAAACACAAGTGGATTTATGTTCAAAATAATAAGAATATGAAAACTTTCTACTAGTCGAATCGTTTAAAAGCACGATCATAGCTGAATAAGCTAACCCCTCCAGTAAAGAGCAGATTTCATTGGTCAATGGATCTATTCGTATGTTCTTCTAAGACCAGTCGAGAAACATTTCATACGGATCTCTTTCAAGCTGACAGAAAGGACAGACACGGACAGAACATCACGAGTCACGACGCTCGAACGCACGTGGTATGTATGTACGAACATAAGACTAAACTTCGTATTAATTAAATGAAAATGCAATTAATAATACGTGGTAGATCGTTAACAAATCAAATTCACTCAAAAGACTTTATTTAGAAGAATGTTAATTTAAAATGAAATATGTATGTCACACGTAGATTCATCTAACAATAAGATGGTCCACCAAATTAGACATAATGGTTTTGGGATATAAAAGAATTCTTAATAAAATTACTCGCTTTCCTTACGTAGAACTTTATATTTTTGTTTGTGGTAGAAAGTAAGCGTGACTTATGTTTACTTGTTTACTAGGTGATATTCCATTTACTTGATCTACCCCGTATACGCATACGTATACTTATGCAACAAGTGGGTACATTCTACGATAAAATTATCGGGAATGTAATATAATTACAAGTAAACTCGTGCTTTTTAAAGTTCCGTAGATCGAATTTTAATAAACACAGTTAAATGTATTCCAATTTCATAAATATGATCCGTACGTGTCGTAATGCAAGCTATGTATATATATTGCAAAGAAAGGATTTTAAATATAAAATTGTGTTATGAATTTAACATCACAGAAGATTTCTTGGACGTAATTAACGATTATGATAACAAATTTTGTCAAGACCTTACAATGTATTTGTATGTAAATGTGTATTATAGCTTACAAATATTTTCTACAAACTCTGATATCAGAATGGTACAATGATGAAATCAGTTGCGAAATGCTGATTAAGTAAGTGTATTGAAAATGTTAGTAACATTGAAATAAGTATTTTATCTGTTTATTAGAGGTCAATAGTTTATAGTGTCATTACTGATAATGCAGAGGAAATCTCGAGGGGGTCTGATATTTTGCAGTATAAAAAAACGAAATATTAAAAGCTTGTAAGGCAACACGATAAATCCATTTATGATTTTTCCTCATATTTAAAAGTTACAACAGATTTTTGTTACACATCTTAATTGAACACTACTATTAGTATTAACAAAGATTCTATACTATTAAACAAAAAACGTTTTCCAAAGTATAGTTGAAATGTCTTGTGACTCGGAGCAATGTGTGCAAACAAGCTCTTGTGTTCAAATATTGCCCAAGGAAAACAAAAGAGACAAAACTCCACGCAGAAGAGACAAAGTAATGACTGGCCTTACACACGAATGTGGAGTTTTTGGATGCATTGCCGCAGGTGACTGGCCTTCCCAAATTGATGTCGCACAAGTGATTTGTCTAGGTAAACTCTAATGCGATTGTCACAGTTCATTTCTGCGGAAAACATCATTATTTATTACTAATATGTTTAATCGATATCTACTTAGGTTTAGTGGCATTACAACACAGAGGTCAAGAAAGTGCAGGCATTGTCACAAGCGAAGGTGTCTGTTCAAAATCTTTTCATGTCCATAAGGGTATGGGAATGATTAATAATATCTTTAACGATGAAAACATGAGAAAACTCAGTGGGAATCTCGGAATTGGTCACACTAGATATAGCACAAGCGCTGCAAGCGAGGAAGTTAATTGTCAACCATTTGTGGTTCATACTGCTCACGGAGCATTAGCGGTTGCTCATAATGGAGAACTCGTGAATACAGAATCATTGAGGAAAATGGTAACTAATTTTTAAAAGTGGTAAATAGCATTATAAAATCTATATTTACTTATGGGATCTAATTTATTACTAGGTATTAGGACGCGGAGTTGGTTTATCAACTTATTCGGATTCCGAGCTAATAACGCAGGCTCTCTGCTTGAACCCCCCTGAAGGCGAAGTAAACGGGCCAGACTGGCCAGCGCGTATAAAACATTTGATGCAATTAGCACCGTTATCGTATTCATTAGTAATTATGCAGAGAGATAAAATATATGGTGTTCGAGATCCTTATGGAAATCGTCCGTTGTGCCTTGGAAAAATTGTACCAATTGGTAATTTAGGTATGTTAATCGTTTCTAATAAAACACTAAATAAAATAAGAGAATCAATCTAACAGAATTGTTTTTGCAATAGGAGATGACTCGGACGAAGACGATGACGAAGCTGAAGGTTGGGTCATTTCGTCTGAGTCGTGCGGATTTTTAAGTATCGGAGCACGATACGTGCGCGAAGTATTTCCCGGAGAAATCGTAGAATTAACGCGCGAAGGCATTAAGACTATAGATATAGTCGATAGACCGAATAAAAAGCCTCAGGCTTTTTGCATCTTCGAATATGTTTATTTTGCGCGTAGCGACAGTATTTTTGAAGGTAGTATGTCTGAATGTAATAGAATAAAAACATATAGAAATCGACTTAATGTACACACAAATGATTCTTACATTATTGAATAGGACAAATGGTTTATTCTGTTCGTATGCAATGCGGACGAGAACTTGCTCTAGAATCGCCAGTACAAGCGGATATAGTTAGTTCTGTACCCGAGTCTGGGACTGCAGCAGCGCATGGCTATGCCAGAGCGGTAAATATCAAGATCCAGTAATTGCAATTAATTAATCCATTGAGACAAATGTGGGAATGCAACTCCGAAATATCTTTGCAGTCTCAAATACCGTTCGCGGAAGTGTTGTGCAAGAATAGATACGTTGGCAGAACTTTTATCCAGCCTAGTACACGGCTGAGACAACTGGGCGTCGCAAAGAAATTTGGGGCTTTATCGGAAAATGTAAAAGGAAGAAAGTTAATTCTTATAGATGACTCGATTGTTAGAGGAAATACGATTGGACCGATCATTAAGTTGCTGCGCGACGCAGGAGCAAAGGAAGTGAGTGTCTTTACCGATTATAATTATTATAGTTAATAGAAAATTTGTTAAGTTCTAAATCTTTTATTATTTTTTATTAGGTTCATATTAGGATAGCTTCACCTCCATTGAAATATCCTTGTTACATGGGAATTAATATACCGACGAGAGAAGAATTAATTGCTAACAAATTAGATAATGTGAAATTAGCTAAACATGTTGGTGCTGACAGTTTAACATACCTTTCAGTAGAAGGACTCGTGAAAGCTGTCAGATACGGTATGGATAATCGGGAAAGCAGTTACATTGGTCACTGTACAGCTTGTTTGACAGGGGAATATCCTGACGAGCTTCCTGCTGATTTGGATTGGTAAAAGAAAGAAATCGTTCTTATTGTATGCATAAAGCAAATTATATACATTTTTAAATCATTCACATTATTTTAGCATAAAATATGACATTCAACTCAATAAAACTTGTCACTTTACTATATATGTCTAATTTTAATTGAGTAATTATAGGTCAGTATATAATGTCCAAAAATACAGCAGTATTTCAAAATTAAGTTACGTTAGATCTACTAAAAATATAATGACAAAATTTGATTTCATTTTATAAGAAATTTAAGATTTTAAACAAATCAAGCACAAAAAATCTTCACTTCGTCATATGTAAATAATAAATTTGTAATGAAAGCACAATAAATAGTGTAACCAGTAATCATACATACATTTGTATGCTCATCTTTGTGCATGATATTCAATCCTTCGAGTTGTTCTTCTCAATATTTGTGATGCATTTATTATTCTAATCATTTTACATTGATTTCTAATTTTGTCCTTCTTTCTCTAATAAATCTGTATCCATCGATTCCTTATGTTTATATACAGCAAATGGATTATCCTCATCAGATTCAGACTCCAATGTTATGCCTTCAGATCTTTTTTGTTCTCTAATTCTCTGTTTTTCTAAATATGATTCCAATGCTTTTAGTCTATTATCTCTCATAGTCTTCCAGAATGAAAGTGCTAAAGAAACACATTCCAAATATTATAAATTGTACTGTAATACACAATTATTGTTATATTATTTAGTTTGGTTCATTTGATACCTTCTGCTTGATATTGAAATGGAATTCCTGCTTGTTTAAGTGTATCTAAATTTGGTATACACTCATTATGTTCAGAGTCCCCAAGAACCTCTGTTCTAGGCTTTATGAAAACTCTTCGCATTTTTAATGACTTCCTAGTCTTAGCAAAATATTTCAAATTCGGTGCAACGTCGAAAACAGGATCATTTACGGTAGGATTATCATCTTTTGTGAAAAACATATAAGTACCGCAATCATCTTCATAAGTACCCTCGTAAAACTGTAATCACCGAAGTCAATACAGAATTATGTTTCAATAATAATTTACACTTATCATCATTACCTTTCCATTGATTTGCATTATGGGATGTTCCGTATCTATGCCGATCATGTCCAATTGCAAATTTTTATCGCTAAGCACGTTACTATCAGTAAGTTCTTCAAATTCCACATATACGAGGATTTCTTCTTCATCTTCAGATACTTCATCATCAATTCCCATAACGATTATATAAATATATTCAACTGATATGAGAAAAAAATACGATTCAATATTTCGCGAATCCGCTTACAAAAAATCTAACCTCCGAGTTAAAGGAAATGATAAACTGTTTACGCATGCGCGAGATTCCATCGTGATTGATCAGGAGTTAAAATGACGTACGACAATCTACAATCATTCTGGAAACAGGCTTGACATCAGACCTGGCGTTACTCTGTTACCATACTGGCGACGGGCTTGGCACCAGCATCTGGAGGCAGATGGCGAGCAGTCTGCAGTCATTCTACTGCCAGATTGCCGTCAGATGCTGATGTCAGGGATTGGCGCATTCTGCAACCAGTCTACCGGTAGATCATGCAGTAGGCCTACCGAAATCCTGTCGTTTGCAGATTTGGCTGACTGGGTATATGCGAGTGTGGGATGTGGAAGAGGGTAAAATGTTTTAAATAATAATTCTGTTATGCGCAAGTATACAATAAAAATGTATTAGTATATTACATCAAAGCATACTTGATATCTTTTTAAATTATAGGCACTATGTCATTCTCATTAATATTCATTGCCATTTTGTATAGTGTCCTGCACAATCTCAAGTTTCGTATGAACTTTGCGAAGAAAATATTTGTATGTACAAAGTACATCTACTAGTTTATTAGAAAACAATAATGAAGATGAAAGATTAAGTAAACGTAACGAGATAAGTTCATAAGCCTCTACAGCTTCAAGAGAAAATACAAGTATGAACAGCAGAAGGTAATCTGTAGGATTTTCCTTCTTCTCAGTATATGTATACATTCACTTCATTCTTTTCTGTTTGAGCAAATGATTTCTTAATGCTCTCTGCTTTTCCTTGAAGGAACGTTTTACTTTCCCTTTTATTTTATGCTTTAACATTTGGAAAGCTTTCGTTTTCCTTTTCTCGCGATTTGTTTTACTACAAAGTGGATTCTGTCGTCCGTCCTTATAACCGAACCTTTCTCTTCCTTCTTGTCCTTTCTGTAATAAGAAGTAGAAAAATAAAAATTTATGCTAAAAGAAATAGGAAAGAAATATACTCGTATCCGAACAAACCTTGACAGACTCGATGCGAGCTTGCTTATCGTGCTTCCGCTTTTTGTAGATATTTTCTATGTCTGTCAATTTGACGAAATCTCCACGCTCCGCATCGGAAGGATGAGGTCTTTTCAAACTACGTTTAGTGTAAGTTACTTGTTGTTTTGCTAATTCCGCATCTATTTTCATAAAATCTTCGTCAGTCAATAAGCGTTCATTAGATACTAAAGTCGCTTTTTCTCTCTTCTCTGAAGTCTTAGCCTCCTTCTTCTTCTGCTTTGCTTCCTCTTGTTTCTTGAGTTTTAATCTCTTTTTCTCAATTTTTGATAATTTCTTATTTAGATTTTCGTTTGTAGTATCATCAGCTTTCGTATTTGTTTTACTTAATTCAGATTCAATTTTGTCGCCTGTTTTAATTTCCGTTTCTTCACATTTGTTAGATTCAATAACGTCATTACGGTTCTCTTCATTTTCATTGTCACTACCATCCTTATCATCGTCAATATTTTCACTGTCATCGCTATCGCCAGAATCATCCTCATCGTAATCTTCTTCCTCTTCCTCCTCCTCATCATTATTACCATCTTCATCACCAGAATTTACATCGATCCATTGATCGTCATCCTCCTGCAACCAGAATCCTAATGAAATCTTTTTTACAAAATTAATTGTGGAATGAATTATATGTTCACTTTTATTTACGTCATTGTCAACGTTAATGTCGATGACTTCTTGAGTGTCGTTATTTAATAAAACTTCAGCTCCGGGTACAAAATCAGTAGCAGACACTTGACCGTATTTTGGCGTTTGCAGAGTAACGATCGCTTCTGTAGGACGTCCTCTATCCTTTTTATGCAGCAATTCGGGCATTGAGACTCTGAACAAAGTGATTAACGACCGCGCAGCCATCATTACACTGCGTTCCTTATAGTGTTTGTAACGTGCCAAATCTTGTAATAAATCTGCGTTCATAACCAGAGGACAGCGTGTGCATACTTCCCTGATAGCGTTCAACCTACATTTAAAATAACGTCGTATTAATTATAAAAATATTTCACAAACGTCAATAAGTAAAAATATGTATTTACCCAATGGCCATCACGTCTGCGGAGTTTCGTTCCGTGACAAAATTGTTTGCCAGAGTTTTTAATACTGGTTCCAACACATCGGGCGGTACTAGTTCGTGAGAAGCCTGAGCGATAAACTGCAGAAGTTTCGTTACCTCTACGATCATTAAAATCAATGTATCATTATATATCATTATCTATAATAACAATTTTCGAACAACAAAATATAATACCTCTTTGATGTGGCTGTAAAAACCTTTGCAGATAAGGATAAAAATTTAGTAGAAACAAATTGTGCAGACCAATAAGTCTCGAAATCACATCCAATGTTAATAATTTAATCTCGAATCTGTCGTTATTCTTTTCCAATTGCTTAAACAGTTTTTCTGCAAAACCTTGCGGGTCGTGAATCAAGTGCAACGCTGAGAAATTAAATCCAGGTGGTTTCTTCGCTTTCTTCTTAGATTTCTAAAACATTTGGAATTTTAGATATGCGTACTATTAATAACTTGAATCAGCTCGCTGAATGCAACTTACTGCTAACGTTTGTTTCGCTTTCGCTAACTGCTTCTCGCGCTTTTTCGTTTTTTTATTCACTTTGTTAGCCATCATGATCTCTTTAATATTCGGTTCGCTGTCGCTATCACTGTCTTCTTTGCCCTCCTCTTCCGCGTCTGTGCCCAAGAAGAATTTTAAACAGGCAACCATGACTTTGGTCGCTTTGGCGAAACATCCTGTCGCGAGGACGTTCACGGTTTTCGCGTCGTTCCAAATATTTTTATTGTACAATTCGATCATGATATCCGCCGACATTTTCGCGGCCCTCACATTCGAATCTTTCAACATCGAAAACATAAAATTTTGCAGCGTCGTGTTAATCTTTGCATTCTTTTGCTTAGAGTTCACGTTTTTAATATCGTTTATGATATGCGTCTCGAGGAATTTCCTTAGATTTTTGTCTTGGCATCTCAAAAGTTCAAAGAACAAGCTCAAAAGCGCAGTAGGTTCCAACAGCGATTTGTTACGTAGTTGAATCAAAGCTTTACAAAACGTCTACAAAAGAAGAAAGAAACTTATTGTCACGCACATATAAAAGTTCGTATCATTTATTTAACACTTACTAAACGCATATCATTTTCAAGTACTGTGTTGTATGTTTGGAGTACGTCAATGATCTCTTGCGGAAACGACTCTAAAGCGTTTGGATAACAATGAGCCACCTATATTTAGAAAATAACGGATTAAAGTAAAATCGGAGGCTGTTTGCAAAAATGAAATAAATACGTGTTCACAAAGTATTTTATTTTCCTTAACAAAAATTCATAAATAAGTACAAAATTAAGACATAAGATCAGACAAATAATTTCGTATATTAAACCCGACGGTTTTGGCTATCACGAGGATGAAATCGTACGATACGCAACACTTGAATTTGGGTTCGTTTAAATTGTAATTCCCCACGACCGATAGTAGACCAAGTTGGCACATCGATGGAATTTGGGCGAGTAAATTAGCATTGATGTCGACCTTCTCAGCGAGAATCGCGCAAAATATAGCAATCATCCGAGATACTGGGAAGTTATAAGGACCGCAATGAACGTTCATCAACGTCTTTCTCTTACCAGGAGCTGTTTTCCTCCTCTTCAATTTTTGTTTCATGAACAGATATTTATCTTCCTTTGCAGAAATGTACGAGGCGAGGTACGATGCGATCAGCATGTACTTCGCGTAATATGGTAATTCGAAACTTAATGCCAGCCTGGTTGTCGATTCAATCTCTTTCGATAATTGATCTTGTTTTGTAAAATTATCAGAGCTAATTCGCAGGTAAATAACTTCTAAGTTCTCTTTAAAGATGGGTGAAATGTGTCTCCACAATAACGGAGTGTTATCACTATTAGACTGATTAGCTTCGACCGGTTCTATGTACTTTGAGAAGTTTACTTTAGCCATGTAACGAAGCTCGTTGAGGTCTCGACAGAATCGGAAGAATACAGAGAGATATAAATTCAGATAATTTCTGTAAAACGTATCCTCGTAACCGGGTGGCATGTATTTAAGCAAAATTTCAGTAAACTCGTTTCGTGTGTATTGAGGAAAATGAATCTTGATTGGTTCGTAAACACCTATTTTAACGCGAAACTTTTCCCACACTATATCGCTTATAAATATTACGCATACATTAACGCCTGACAATTCCCTGAGCTTTGAAAACGCCGGTAACAAACTAATAGCAAAGTTTCTCAGTTTATCACATTTATCGAGGACTATTACAATTGGGCGAGTATCTCTTGCAGCAATTTCCCTAAAATTTATTATGAAATCAGCAAAACTGTCGCACTTATGATTTGTCGAATCAGCGAGATTTGATGATAAATCAGCTAGTATATAGTCAAATATGTGCTTGGCGTTTACATGCTCTATGCAATTAATAAAAGCTACGTTGTGCTTCAAATAGGAAAGCATATTTTGTACTATTAAGGACTTTCCTGTGGCTACATGACCATAAATAAATATGCTATGCGGAATTGGTTCATCAAAATAGCCAATTAAAGAATATAGCTGTGCTATTACTTTTTTGCGGCATATGATCTTCCCATCGACATGTTCCAAATAATTATCCATAATTACTATTTTACTTTTAATTTTAACCAATTTGCAATAATATTAAAATAAATAAATACGTTCTTTTATTATTATACCTGTAAAGAAAAAACTCTCCTAACACTTGAAATTCTCATAATAAAGAAATTACAGACAATTGAAGACATACATGTAGTTCTTAGAATTATTTCATACCCATTGTACTTTGCATTATGAAACTCACCTGTGACAGAAAGGTGACTATTTCGTCAAGGCTTTTATTAAATTTGTTTGGCGTTAAACGAAATATTTCCAAAACAGACTTGTAATGTTGATGCTGCTGAAGAAACTGTAAAAAACATTTATATGAACAAGTTGTCAAACGCGGCGCATGAACACATGTATTAAAAACAAACTCACTTCTTCTTTATAAGATTCTGGATCGCGTTTGATAAGATTTTGCAACTGGGGAAGATTTTCCGGCAATTGATTGTTATGTCTCACCATTTTTCTACCTAATTTGACATAATAATTTTACAGTACACGTGCTTTGGTATAACCTGGATAATCAACTTCTACATTCGCAGTCAAACTTTACTGTACAAAGCATTACGGATGATATCTTGGTATAGTTAAAACGATTATAGGAGAAAAATCTTGTAGTCAAATATAAGGAATGAATATTCTCACTTTATACATACCATTTGACTTCTTTGGTAGACAATTACTTTATATACAAACATATGCACAGTGGTGCATATACATATGTGCGTGGTGCATATACGTATGTACAAAAAATTTTACCGCGCTTTGTTTAGAAGGAGAAATTAATCTTTATTGAATTTTTTATTGCAGCGTTGATGCTTATATATTATTATTATTTACATTTACCCACTATAACTATAAAAATAAATAGAACAGCTCATATTCGTGCGTTTATATCATTGTTATGTTGCTGTAGATCGAATAATAACGTGAGATAATTTAATAAAGAACAAATACATTTAAATCTATTTATGCTTTTTCCAACAATACATATTTATTTTCGTGGACTGAAAATGAATATAATATTATTTGATGGAAAAGGTTTGAATCCTCCAGAAATGTCCAGAAATTTCGATTGGGCTTGTAGTCGAACGCGATCTGCAAAACGTTTGCAGTCGATATTGAATTTCCAAGACGAGCGCAGGTGTATGATTCAGTATAACTTCGAGACGTATATAATTCTAAAATAAGGAATCAAGTGTTGAATTAATTTGTGGCTGAAATTAAAAGTTCACGATATTTCTACCCTATTTGTCGTCCCCTTGCAGAAAAACAATGTCAACGAAAGCTGATGAGGTAAGTCGATAAAAGAACTCGTTTGTACAAAATTTCTTACGATATAAATGCTGATAGATTTTTTATATGCAAAGTGATATATCAAAATGTGACGGCCTATAATGTTATCTACCGTTTCTTTCACTCAAGTGTATGTATAAAGGATTGAATATTTATAAATTATTCAACAACTGTGTTAAGTAGGATAGTGTTTATATAAGAAAGGTTGTACCATCACGGGTTAACCTAAACCTGCAGACATGATTTTTACAGTTAAAATTGGATATCGAAGAGTTTAATAATCTAATTGGCCATGCAAACCGTCAAAGGAGCAAGGATGTTCTGAGTCTTGAAATTCGGAGACTGCAAACGGAATTGACAAAGCTAATGGAGGAAACCAAAACGCCTAAGCCAAAACTGTCTAACGCAGTATCCAACTCTGCTCAAAAGTGTTATGAAGTTAAACTGAATAACTATGGTTGGGATCAAACAGGCACAACAGTGAAATTATATGTTACATTGAAAGATGTGCATCAATTACCGAAAGAAGCTGTGACCTGTAACTTTACTGAAAAATCTCTTGACCTCCATGTGTTTGGATTAAATAACAAGAATTACAGTTTAACAATTAACAATTTATGCGAGGACATAGATGCAGATAACAGTAATTTTAAAGTTAAAACTGACATGGTGATTATATCTCTTGCCAAGAAAGTTGCAAAGCATTGGTCAGATGTGACGGGAGTAGAGAAAAGAATCAAGGAATCAAAAACATCTTCTGTACCAGAAATGGATGACAACAGTGATCCAGGTGCGAGTTTGATAAATCTAATGAAGAAGATGTACCAGGAAGGAGACGATGAAGTTAAAAAGTTAATGGCTAAAGCATGGACTGAGAGCCAAGAAAAAAAAGCAGCTGGACTGTCAGACTCTTAATATTTTTATTTTTATACATACTTAAGTTTATTTGATAGGTTGCCAATGTACAAAATAAACTTAGATGTAAAAGTACTAGACACATGTTTTATATAAAATTATATATTATAGATTTTACTACTTCCTTCTTCAGAATAATTTATGTTCTCAGGCCTAGTACATGTTTCAAAGGTAGCACATTTGTTAATGAATAATAAAATATAGCTATTTTGGTCATTTAAAATTTATATATTTCAATCTTATTGCATAATTACAATAACATTAAAATTTCTTTACGTTTATTGTGGTTGATTCAAATTTATAATTTAGTACGTCTTTTNATCCGTTTAATATATTATTATATTTTCATTTCTGGGAGATTAATCCCCCGAAAAATATTTTCAATCCTGAAATTTGTTCAATTGTGCGTTTTTCTTTCGTAAAACTATTCCATCATCAAGAAGTACACAATACAATCAATACAAACAGACTAATTAAGGGCTACTTTGCATGTTACATGATTTTGCTTCCAGTAATAATTAAAGCATGATCAACATATTGGACTAACTCTTACGAGTGTAGCTTAGGATTGTATATGTATAATTCTTGAAATATGAAACTAATTGTTAAAACAAGAAATAAGCCATTTTTAGAATGGCACGACAACAAATATTTACTAGATATTATGTACACTGAGAAAGATTGCAACAAAAAAGCCGTATACATATATTCTTTGGATTATAATTTGCATTTAACAAGTGTTGATTTGAATACAGCATACTCCAATGTAAACTATAGACTTGTCGAAAAATAAATATGCATTTGAAACAATGTATATTTTTTGTTGTAGTTTTTAGACTGTTTATGCTCTCTTAACGATAAGGCCATGAAGTTATAAATTATCTCATTATGTAATACCATCGATTAAAGATTATCAAAATTCAGTATAATCCAAAGTTAGGTGTAGCTGATACTAACAACAAATCCTAATTTAATCGCTTATCAGTTGTAGAAATAGTAATTCTATGAGGAGACTACGTGTTTAGTTACAATTTTATATATTGATACGGATATTTAGTTACAAATAAGAATCGTATCACAGTGTGTGAATGTTTATATAACAATAGGTAACAGAAGACAGTTTTTCAATGCCACATTCAAAATTTGTTTCCTTTATGATTACTATTTGTCCTCGCAATGAATAAAATCTTACAGTAGTTAAGATTCACTCAAATCTCAATGACATCCTGCTTTGTCAAAACAGAGAGGAATATAAACGAAAGAAGTTACTATTACCACTGAAGTAACTATTTAGCTGTAAATTATTAAAATTGCATACTCCTGCATATATAAATAATTGGAAGCATATAACAATTATGTATATAAAATATTATGAACAAAATACACAGTGTAGAGAAAAAGAACACGACTTAACGAGCTAAGATTTGAATACATATTTTTCATTCTTTTGACCACAGTTCTACCCAGTCGGACTGTTAACTCTTTGGCATACTTCAACATTGTTCGACACCTACGGGAGGTTTCGCATTCATGTATTACCGTAAACTTTGGCGCTTTATTTGTATGCCAAGCAGTCAACAAAATAAAATTACTTATATTTGAAATCAGAAGTTGTTAAAGCTCTATCATATAATATTTCTTAGGATTTCTTATGTGAGAATATGTTAACATTTATATTCTCACAAACATATAAAATTGGTAAATTTTATATAAAGATGAATTACGATATGCGTCAACATATTATATTGAATATCGTAGTGAACTGTCGAAATAAAAATGTATAAAAAGGATTCTTTTATATACATATATGTATATTACCCAAGATAGAATAGAAGTGTAATTTTACCTCAGTAAATGAAATTTGATAAAAAAATCAAATATAATCTGAAGCATGAGTCGTTATTATTTCTGTACATATATCATGAGTGTCCCGGGCACTTAATACGACATTAAAACGTCTAAAAATAATGGAATCATTAGATAAAATAACAAAAGATATAGTCTTTGGTTCAGAAACAAAAGCTCGGTTATAATCAAGCTCTGAATGGCAAGATATCTTTCTAAATGGCAAGATATCTTCCTAAGTGGCAAGCTATCTAATTGATTTATCAAAGAGATAGCTTTCACTCTAAGTAGAAGGAATACTTGAAAGTTGAACTTCGTGACTAGATGCGTGGAAAGCATCACTCATAACGTTTCGTGTTTGTTGCATTAAATGTTCAATGTCATTTGTACTCAGTCCCTCCGTGGATATCGGCGGTAATATCGTTATAATAACTCGCCCTTTGGACAATCAGTGAATTAATGTTTATTACAAACGTCTATGTTTAGAACAGAAGGGAGAACTTACCAGAATCAAATCTCTTTTCTTTTGAAGATAAGAAATAATAGGATGAAAACACGACGGGTAATATGGGTAATTGGGAATTGACTGCGACGTGAAAGGCACCCTTCTTGAATGGATGAATGTAACCAGTATTGTGTCTGGTACCTTCAGGGAATATCCAAAGTTTTATCTACAAAAAAAGAATATACATATGTATGTACGTGAACATGCGAATACTAATAATGTATTAGATGTACTTTTATAATTTTTTCATGTTAGACCATATTACCTTCTTGTCTTTAATATGTTCTGTAGCATCATTAATAACTGAGCGAGCCTTCTCTGAATTCATTCTATCTATAAATATCAGTCCGCAAAGCCAAGCGGCTAAACCAAAAGGCCATGCATAAAAAATCTCTTTCTTTCCCACCGCCGTACACTTGTCCATTACTGGCCATATTTGAAACATCCCCATTATATCTAAAGAACTTTGATGATTCGCTACTATTATGCATGCTCTCTCTTGCTCTAAATGCTCTCTTCCCCTTAATTCCCATCGTACTCCCAGAAAATTAGTAAGGCAGGAACATACAGAGGAAGCTAGTCTAGAATTATATATCATAATTTGTAACTCATCATTAATCCGGATTAGTAAAAAGCAAAATAAAATCTGTTACGGTAGTAACAAAATTATTGTAAATGATGGAATTTCTATGTTACAGTTATATAATCTTTTCCCATAAATTGCCAATCATTTTCTTTAACGTTACGTAAAAAATATTCGTAGCCAAACAAATCGGAAGAATTATTCTTATATGTATGTACGTGAACATGCGAATACTAATAATGTATTAGATGTACTTTTATAATTTTTTCATGTTAGACCATATTACCTTCTTGTCTTTAATATGTTCTGTAGCATCATTAATAACTGAGCGAGCCTTCTCTGAATTCATTCTATCTATAAATATCAGTCCGCAAAGCCAAGCGGCTAAACCAAAAGGCCATGCATAAAAAATCTCTTTCTTTCCCACCGCCGTACACTTGTCCATTACTGGCCATATTTGAAACATCCCCATTATATCTAAAGAACTTTGATGATTCGCTACTATTATGCATGCTCTCTCTTGCTCTAAATGCTCTCTTCCCCTTAATTCCCATCGTACTCCCAGAAAATTAGTAAGGCAGGAACATACAGAGGAAGCTAGTCTAGAATTATATATCATAATTTGTAACTCATCATTAATCCGGATTAGTAAAAAGCAAAATAAAATCTGTTACGGTAGTAACAAAATTATTGTAAATGATGGAATTTCTATGTTACAGTTATATAATCTTTTCCCATAAATTGCCAATCATTTTCTTTAACGTTACGTAAAAAATATTCGTAGCCAAACAAATCGGAAGAATTATTCTTATACAATAAGCATATTATATATTTAACGATCGTATGAGATGTAAAAAATAATTTTACAACTTATATCGATTTTTTCCATTACGTGTTTTAAACAATATTTCCAGGGTAGTTGTGACGAGTTATTCAAATAAACTACCACCACTTGATGCATCGTACACACTATACCATCATCGTTCAATAAATTTGTTCTACAGTACGTTGCTAATAAATGTCTATTAATTAATAAAAATAAGATAACAGAACAATTATACATTATTGAAACATCAAAAAGAATGAAAGTAAGACACGAGAGAGTGGTAAAATCGCAGGGAAAGATTTGGTAGTTTCAAAATTGGAATTGATCACTAACATGAAATTCTTCACGTTCCACGGTCGTAGCATCATAATTGGAAGCAGGGCGATTGAATTCATCATCACGTATCCGTAGTACAAGAGAAACTTGAAATAGTAACGAAATGTCCTGCTCATTTCGTAGAGAAATGGCAACACAAGGATAAAACCGACGAGGATCACTTCGAAACAAGACGGTGCCATCTTTTATAGCGGCAAAGGGCGGATCACTAAACTAACACGCAGTGAGCGTATATTATGTATATCTGCTTTGCACCACACAGCCGGGATCACTTTTAAGCTTACTCGTCCTATTTCGTGATCTTATAAGGTTTTCCGTGATGTTAAACAGTAATGACATATGATTAAACCCCCTCTATCCATTTTCCGCCTACCTCGTCGTTTTATTCGCGTAGAATACATACAATAGCATACAATGAAGCTATTCTGCCGTGTCTCCCGCACGGCACACACGCTCTCAGTCTGTCGATAATGCCCCACACATTTTTGTCACACTCTTTTGTGTTAGCATTCCTATCTAGCAATCAGTACCACGCCTATCAATTATTTTAATTCGTTCCCAATGCGAACTCTGTTCTTAGTGGAGTTAAGTCGATATTATCTGTCAATGGACAACAATAATATATCTATGCCATACACAGAAGCACTGTAACCTACACACTTATCATGGTTTATAAGTATTATGTATAGATAGTATTTAATTGAAAGAACTTATCGCGCTTCAGAATGATCCATTTCAATTCCATTTTATATTACCATAGTTTAAGGGTGAGACACCCTTGTAATCAGAACCGTTCTTAGCGCCGGACAAACAGGGCATTTGCCCCGATCACTTGCCCCGGCACTTATTCTTATAAAAAAACTGCAGGTTTTGATGTAAGTGATCATTTGAAAAATAACTTTCAAATTTAAATATACTGAATTAATAGACTGCTGAGGTATTTAGTATCGAATTGTTGTTTGCTATCTCGAGTATATGTTTATAACAGAAGTTTAGAGAAAATCGAAATTCATTTGATAATTCTAATTCCAGCTCTTTTAAAAGGGATAAATTTTTTTGTATAATTTCTAGCAGACGGTTCTCGAAATAAATTAAATAAGTAGAAATGAGTCGAATAATAAACACATGCATTTTAGCATCTTGTGAAAATATACATTCCATCTTAAATTATAGAGCTTTAAAACACTATTCAATTGCGAACATTATGATTTTGTATTACAATAAGCTTATGAGCTTTTTGTAAATAGATATTATTACACGGAGCTGGTAATTTAGCGTACGTCTTTTCATGCCGATTTGAATTTCGATTGTAGTAATTTCGATAGATTGCGCGGGAAGTATAACAAGTTCCATTGCAGTTTAAAACACGATAATGATCTTTTGTCGTCTCTGTTGCACGTTCCTTATAGGTTAGTTCTGAGGTTTTGCATTACTCTCGTAACTAATAATCGTATAGAATTTAAGGTCGTGATGTGAAATATATATATCTATTGTTCAGCTTTGTATAAGGAGTATATTAAAGTTGATGTGGATATAAAACTTTTCAAAATCGTTACTATATGTATTGGGTATGTATTCATTTGCTTAGTATCCTATTGTATGACCATTCAAAGAAAAAATTACAATCCTGAGTTTGAACAGATCATAAACGCGTGTTTGGACTGAAGTAGAAGAAATTTCATACATAGAAAATTAAGAATTTAGAAATATGAAGCCAACGCACTCAAGAGAAGACGTGAAAAATACAATATTAGCATTGTTATTGAGTCGCAAAGGGGGATGTACCTTGAGGCAATTAAATATTGATTATGAGGAAGCAGAAAATGAACAGATACCATGGAAAGAATTTGGTTATTCCTCTTTGTTAGGATACATCTATTCCATGTCAGATGTTGTCCAAATAGATAAAAATAATATATTAAGAGGCATCCCTACTGAAAAGTCCAAACATATTAGTAAGTTTGTAACTGAACAAAAAAGTCAACCTCCAAAGGGAAGATCGTACAGAAGTCGGTATTATGCTAGTGCTATTGTTTATACCAGAACTCTGATACCACCACAGGCATTAGAAGAGATAATTGATCTCATTTATAAGTATCCAGATGGCGTAAAGAAACAATATGTTTTTGAACAGTTACAGTTGTATACACCAAAACTAAACATAACAATGAAGGACATGGAAGAGCAGTTTAACAAGTTCCGTTCTAGAATTCGCCAAGACTCTAATATGGTTTATCCAGTTAAAGGTGTTCAGAAGTGTGATTATTCAACACAAATTACAAATAATACTGCTCCTTCCAAATCTGTTGTTATTACTGCAGCTGGATACGAAGACCATATTCAAAATTATGACGATACTGATATTTTCGAGTTTGTTCCTGCTTCAAATCTACGTAATTCTAGTCATTTAACATCAAATGCTGAATCTACCTCTAGTTTCATTAAGAGAACTATATCTAAGTCTCCAGACAAATGTAAGAAAGCTACAACAGAAACAGAAGCACCATCTGGTATATATAATGTATATATGGACGCCAATGGGTCTGTACAGGTAGAAGTTAATGATAGAAAGAAGGATGAGGAAGAGCCTGTACTTGATAACGATAATCAGATTATTATAAATGAAAGACTTAAATATCGTTTGAAGAAACTTGCTGAGAAATATCCTGATGGTATTTGGTGTGCTGACTTGCCAGCCAAGTATATGGAAGAGTATGGCTATCAGTTGCAGTACACAGAACTTGGTTTTACTAGCGTTAGAGAATTCATATCATACTTATCAGATATTTTTTACGCCATTCAGTTACAAGGTACAGGAGATTTTAAACTATACTCTGCTAAAAAAGATATGTCTGCCTTTAGAATAAAGGAGATGAAGAGTCACGATTCGGAGGATGAAGAAGCTGTGCCATCGAAACTGGTAAAAATGATTTATTTAAATTTAAAGGTGCACATATTGTACTATTGATAATTATCAACTGATATTACATTTTTAGACACTCAGTACCTCAGAAGCGATCGTGCCAGAAGAAGTAATGGGTATTGGGGATCGCATCAATTATATAAAGCCTAAAAACATTGTATTAGGAGGAACTAAGTTCTTAGAAGTTTTTGTAGTTGAAGTTTTCACGCCCACATTTTTTTGGGTACAGCTTCGTAAAAAGATAAATAAATTTAAAGAAATGATGACCAATTTAGAGTATGTATAATTAAGATGCATAATTATATTATATACGATCAAACGGGTAAACAAACAAAAATTGTCTTTGTAGCAATTTTTATACTCAGAATTTTGCGAAATATTTGATTCCACCAATTGTATTAGAGAAAGGTTTAAATTGTGCTTGTAAATACAATGGCAAGTGGCACAGGGCTATCGTTGAACACGTCACATCGGATTTTTCAATTACAGTAAGTATACTTTTGGTCAGTATACTGGTACATAGTGTAATGCGATAAGCATGGCTAATGATTTCTTAAAGGTAATGTTTTATGACTACGGTACACTAAAAATATGTTCCCGGAATGAAGTCTATTATTTGCATAAAAAGTTTTCCGATTTACCAGCACAAGCAATTCCCTGCGGTTTAGTTAATGTAATGCCACGAAAAGGAACCAAGTGGTCTCGCGTAGTTACCCATAAATTTGCATTAAGAACGAATAACATCCCTTTAGTAGCTACAATTGCGTCAGTTAGTCCGGAGGTAAGAGATTCGTTTAAATTTACATACGTATTTTAAATTATATTTTAACTACGACTGGTTAATTAGCGAGAGTCTTGCAATAAAAGGAACACAGGTGTGTGCGACAAAATGTAATTCTACTTAAGTTATTCGCATTTTAATTATTTCTTCTCTTTTAATTAGATGAACAAGGTTGATATGAATAATCTTTTGTTATACACTGAAGAGAATTTGGTAAACCATCCACACATATGTTATGAAGAAGAGGAACCTGTTAAGTTGGTCAAGGAGAAACAACAAACAAATCATCGAGAGATCATTAATGCACCCTTAATATCACCGCAAAGTATTTTAGATGATACAGCTTTCAAACCCTCGTCGGAATCGGCATTACGCGACAGATATAAAATGTTGTCACCAGAAGACAATGTTAAAAATCAGAATCTTCCGTCGCTTCACTTGTTTAGATATAACAGGAATAATACCAATCCATTCTTGCAAGATGAACAGTCTGTATACGATATAAGCCCTCAAGAATTTATGCAATTGTGGAACGATAATTTGGTAGTACTAACGCAAATAAGCGGGACGCTTAGCCTGTTGTTCAATAAACTGAATTCAGCGAAAGATGAAGATATTCTAAATAAAGTAAAAAGTATACTCTCAAATGCTTACAGCCAAATACCAATTTGCACGGATCCTATGAATACAGGCGTTGCAAACATTTGCAGAGATACAATTTCTTCAATCAGTTCTTATCTCTCGAAAACAAATTTCAATGAGACTAAGACACCATTATTCTCTACGTGTTCTAATAACAATAATAATTTTAGTGGATATACTGTTCCCGTTCAAAACAGTAAAATTCAGGAAGCGACTGAATATCCTAATTGGACGAATAATAATTATTTTATACCTGGGAATGATTTTGTTATACCGAATCATCAAAACTGGGAAGCTGAAAAGTTTGGCCAAGGCAAATTCAGTATGGACGTGCAAAATTATCTTACAAATAACAGTATCGAACTTTTTACACGCACAGAGAAACCTGTGGATAGTAATACATATTTTAAGGAAACTAATCCGTTTAGACTTAGTCTATCGGATACATTACAAATCACTGAGAAAGAAGATAATTCATGTAAAAATCGCGAACCCATCATTTACGATGTGATAAATATTGAGAATCGTACCAATAGTCCGTATGTAAATGGAAATATAAACGGGAATGGTATATCATCCAAAGGGAACGAATATTTGAAGTTGCAGCCTACGAATAATGATGAAAGGAATAATTCAGTTGCAAGGTATACTATGGATCAGAGCCGAAGTTTAGAAGATATTACGAGAGCAATGTCCAACATCTGTATCAGTGATCAACGTTTGCCGGATAGCAGTATTCCTAAAAATAACAACCACTGTTTACCAACATCAAAGGATTTTATCAGCAGTTACGATTTACAAAGCAAAAAACAGGGACCCATTTTTGTTGACACCTTTAACTCGAGGCAATCTGCGCCTAATCAGAATGGTCCAATGTTGGTAACTACGAACAGTTTTGTATATCCTATGTCAAGGAAGAATAAAACTATCAATGATGGGTATCGGACTTCTATGTCTACTTCTCACCCATTGTGCAATTCACTCGCAATTGTAAAATCCAATAATGTCCCACAATACAATCAGAAGTTAATGGTGAAAAAGTATAATGAAATGGGTAGCGTGTTTGAAGAGAAAAATAAAGTGAGCAAAGATAGCTGCCAAGTGTTGGATTCAAAGAAGTGGACTTCAGACAACTGGATTCCAGTTCAGCCCATATCGCAAAACAAGGCAAATATATCTGATAATAACAAACAACAAAATAGTATACAAGCAGGACAAGACTCGTCAAATGTTCATTTAGATAATATGGGTATACAGACTATGTATGCGAAACAGTGCAATTTAAATAGCGTTGCAGACTCATCAAAACATTTATCCTTAAATGCCAAACTATATTTTCAAGTAGTTGGTACGTTTCAACCCTTTTAAAAATAATAATTAATTAATATCATCGTAGACATGATTCTGTACAATTTCTGTAGAACTACAAACGGATATAGTTCACATATTCCATTATCTGGATGAAGGATGGTTATTATTAGACGAATTTGTTGACAAGTTCACGCAATTTACAACGAGCTGGTACCTGCTTAACGAGTTAAGAGGATATAATATGTCTATCAAATTTGAGGAAATTGACCGAACTAAGAATTCAATAGAACTTTTGACAACTAACAAGTAATCATTATGTATTTTTTACTCAGGAAATAATATGTTCATTTACTCAATAATCAACATAACAATTTACCTTTTACAGTACGATATTGAAACCAACGCGAGATATATTAAATGGCGTAACTAAATTATATTTAATGTCACTGGAATCTGTTATACAATCACTACATACGCTGAGAATCATTTCGTATGACGATGTCAATGCCATATTTATGTATGAAAGATTTCTGAGCAACTCGGTTGCATATGAAATATGGGTACATATTATTGTTGAATTAAAAATGTATTTGTATAAGTTACTGTTGAATAATGAGTTTTTTTTGTTCTTTTTTTAGTTGGTCGTGAACACTTACAAACAGTTAAAATGTGCCGTTGAACAACTTTGATACCTATGCAGTAATAATTACATGAGCTGTGGATGTACTTAATGTTAGTAATTAACATGACTAAAACATTCTAAAATGCTTACCTTCAGATTTTTTTACATATCTGAAGGACAGACTGAAAGTAATCTCCTACTTTTAGAGAAATAATGTTTATTT